GTATCCTGTCTCTTGAGATGGATGAGGAGAGCTCTTGTCCGTTCTGAAAGATGGGGCTGGAGTGCGTTCAAAAACAAGTGGAGGTAAATGCAAGCACTATGCGTAAGGGGAGTGGTAATTGCACATGTCAGGGTTATAAATTGATATGGGAAAGTTTAGTTTTTTAAGTTGGACAACATCGAGATAATGACATTGAAGTTATTTAAAATGCTGGGCTAGGTAAGTAAATAATTTGTATTTATATAGCGCATTTCACAGACTGAGATTTTCAAAGCAATTGTGGTGGTAATTCATGCTCCGGACAAAGTGATGTCTTTAGTTCTCGGGGAAACCAGAGCAGGACCTCGGACCTTCTTGCTTTGAAGCACAATCTCTGACATCACAAATTATTTGAATATATATTCGGTATGCACAGATGTTTTTTTAGTGCAATGTGAAAAAACCCCACCTCACCATGTATTATTTTCAAGCCAATAAACATGTGAGCCAGATCAGAGTGACTCATGTGTTTTTCTGGAATGTTTAGCTTTGCAATTTTCAATACAATGTGCTTGTAGAAAATTGAAAAATAAAATAAAAGGATGGGAATCATTCTTAAACATACAAACAAAATAATTATAACAGGCTTTTTCAATATATAGGACCCGGTGCTCTGGCCTTGCCCTGGCCTTGCCCTGGCCTTGCCCTGGCCTTCCCCTGGTGTGGTCATAGTTGGCAGTATTGTGATGGCTTCCTTCCAGTCCTTCTATTAAAGTCTTGATTGAAAGCTCAATGAAATTGTGCTTGATAATCTCATCAGAGCTCTTTAGTGGGACGCAGGAGGCCTCACTCCACCAAACTCTTCCTGGACGGGAGGTCTACAAATCAAATAGGAAACTTTTACAGCTATCCATTACATTAATCAGCTCGCTCATAAATCTGAAAAATATACGCTATTATTTTTGAAAGTTGTTCAATGAATAAAACGCATGACAATCCAATGGAGGCCATCCCAGGTCAAAGACAAGTGCTTTCCCATGATGATCCAGATTATGTTTTATGAATAGTTCAATAGCAGCGGCTGATTTAATCACCTGTGACGATCAGCCAGGAGGTGGTAAATAAAATCTAACACAAAGGCAAATGAATGACACAGAAAGTGACGGCTCTGATGAGTTTTCTATGTTCAATAAACACCAGTGTGTATTTTGTTGTCAGCGTGAGTCTCTGATTGGACCATTATACTAAATGTGTTCTGTGCTAAGAGGAAGCAGACCTGTAAATGGCTATAATTGGAGCAACCTTACGGACATGTTCTGTGTGTATTTCTGTGTCTGTAGTTTTGTACGGTGAAATTGTGTTTGGTTTTTAGAAATTAGATGCGAACTGCTGTATAATCTATGAATGGTAGAATGTGAAATCAGGGTGAAAGCATTCTGCCACAATCACTATTTAATCCATTTTCAGTCCCGGTTCAGCCCTGTTTCAGTCTTGGTTTAGTCTTGTTTTAGTCTTGGTTCAGTGCTGGTTCAGTCCTGGTTCACACCCGGTTCAGTCCCAGTTCAGTCTTGGTTTATTCTTGGCTCAGTCCTGGTTCAGTCCCAGTTCAGTCCTGGTTTATTCTTGCTTCAGTCTTGGTTCAGTCCCAGTTCAGAATTGGTTCAGTCCTGGGTCAGTCTTGGCTCAGTCTCAGTTCAGTTTTGATTCAGTCCCGGTTCAGTCAGGGTTTATTCTTGGCCCAGTCTTGGTTCAGTCCTGGTTCAGTCCCCCTCTCCCTCTGACCTGCCTGTGACACGTGTCGATGGTGCACCCCTCTGATTGGTTGATGACATCGATGTTGCCACAGAAGTCGAGCAGTGTTTGACTCGGTCTTCGTGCCTCATAGGGCCCCCTCCCCATGAACTGTGCATGTAAACAAACCAGGCTGGGTCTGGCGGGAGCCGGGATTAAGGATTCAACTGCGTACCAAGTTTGAAGTAAGGATTGAGACAAAATGCAGCACGTTTTTGCCAGAAGTTTGCAACAAAACAAAAAAAGTGTGGCATGTATCAAAAGCAGATCAACTCTATTGTTAAAAGAAAGAAAGACCTCTCTATTGTGCGGCATCCATAAAAAACAAAAATTGCTTCTTTCACCAACTACAAAAATCTTAAGAAATACCAAGGACTGGGAGAGGAGCTGAAGAGGGCCTGGAACAAAACTGAGGTTTTAGTCATCGGCCCTGAGGCCCAGAGAGAGAAACTTTTACCGAAACTCCAATCACACTCTTTTAATCCATCATCACAAGTGAAAAACCTGGGCGTAATCTTTGACTCTGAGCTGACTTTTATTCCTCACATCAAGAACATCACAAAAATAGGTTTTTATCATTTAAAGAACATCGCCAGAGTCCGCCCCATTCTCTCTCGGGCCAACACGGAGACGCTGATGCATGCTTTTATCACCAGTCGCATTGACTACTGTAATGCCCTGCTCTCTGGTCTTCCCAAAAAGAACATTTCAGGTTTACAATTACTTCAAAACTCGGCCGCACGTGTCCTGACTAAGACCAGGGGGCGTGTCCTGACTAAGACCAGGGGGCGGGACCACATTACACCGGTTTTAAAATCGCTGCATTGGCTCCCCGTGTGTTTCAGGATCGATTTTAAGGTTCTTTTAATGGTTTTTAAATGTCTTAATGGTCTTGGGCCTTCTTATCTTTCAGATTTGCTTTTATCCTATGAGCCTTCCCGGCCCCTGCGCTCCTCCGGCAGCAGACTCCTAACCATCCCCAAAGTCAGGACACACACTCACGGCGAGGCATCTTTCCAGCACTACGGCCCCCGTCTCTGGAACAGTCTGCCGGAGGAGCTCAGGGCCGCAGAGAACGTTCATATTTTTAAGAGTAGGCTCAAGACGCACCTTTTTAGAGCAGCTTTTGATTAGTATTTATTATCTATTATTGCTTTTTAGTACATATATTTATGTTTTTAGACGGATTATATTTGTATTTATTTTTATTATTTACTATTTTTAATTATTTATTGTATCTACCCATTTACTATTGTTATTATCAATATTAGGCAGCTGCCATTTTTCTTTTTATTTTCACATTTTATTGTTCTACTTTCTATTGTATTATTGTATTGTTTTAGTGTCCCCAGTGTTTCCTCTGGAGGAGCCCTCTGCACTGAGAGCTGGGGTCTGCTGCGGCTTCGGGGGACTGGCTCTTGGATCCGGTGGGGGTCTGGGGCCTCCTCTCTCCTCTGGGTCCTATGGGGTCTGAGTCCTGGGCCTGGTGGGGTCTGGGGCCCCTCTCTCCTCTGGGTCCTGTGTCGTTGCCTGTGGCTGCAGCCGGCTCTCTGCTCCTGGTGCAGATGGCTCCTTGGATGACGCTTCTTCAGCCGGTTACATCTGCTCCCAGCCCCATTTCTTTTTATTGTTTTACCTATTTTACCTGATATGACTTTATACTTGTGTATATGTGTGTGTGTGTGTGTGTGTGTGTGTGTGTGTGTGTGTGTGTGTGTGTGTGTGTGTGTGTGGGTGTGTGTATTGTATATATAATTATAAATGTGGTTTTGGGGGGTCTGTGGGGAGGTGGGTTTAGGGCTGGGCATGTTGGATTGTTTTTACTGTAACTAAACTGTAAAGCACTTTGTGTTACACTTTTTGTATGAAAAGCGCTTTATAAATAAAATTTGATTGATTGATTGATTGGAAGGTATAAGGGACGGTAGTGCCCGTGGTGATCACTCCATACACTTGACCCAGAGAGAGAGAGAAGGACTAGTGCCTGCGGAGGGCGAACGTAGCAATTCTTTTAAAAATACTGTATTTATTAATTGAGGGAATCAGTGGGGTGTTGACATTTTTCAAATTCAAACCATTCTTTTCATTGTAGCCATAACTGACGCAGAATTGTACAAATCAGCAGGACTGTGACCTGTTAGTTTCCAAAAAGACTCCTGACAAATGAGTTCCATGTCGGTGACCCACTGGGAGCTCGAGGGCAGCAGGTCCTCCACGTAACACAGCATGCCTTTGACAAGAGCGCCATGTTGAAGGAAAGTCACTTATGTGGGCGAGCCAGTTGCGTTGAGCGTTGAATGGGAGATAAATACATCAATTTTCTTTTTGAAATGTGAAAATAAAAAGCAATGACTTGGTGACATTGCATAGCTTTAAGGTCTAGGTATAATTTAGTTCTGTAGGGAATTTTGTCCTTTGCATTTGTCACATCTTTCAATGCCACTAAGGGCAACCTGTCAGGATTGAGGACGTCAATGTCTCAGCGCACACACTGAAAATCCAGCACAAACAACGCGGGCGCATATTTCAACAGTGTATGGACCACAGTGGCTTCATTCTCAAAAAAGAAAAGAAAAAGTCAGAGCCTCTCTGTCTGTGACCATGAGGTTCACTGTCCGCGAGTGCGGGAGAAGCGCCCGACACAGAAGTCTGAAGCTGCGTTTGATCCAGAACAGGGCTTGGACCAACTGCACCCTGCACATCGTGACCTCGGTCTTGCCCCGGGCTTGCAAGTGGTGTCTCACGAGCACTACACCAGCTGCAGTGTGTGCGTGGAGCCACAAACACACCTCGCGCACTTATGTAGGGAAGACCAGGTCTGGTCAGACCAGCGTCCCCTTCAGTTCAGCACAAAGTTGCCTATTGCTGAGTAAAGTTGTTTTTTTGGCAATATGACTATTATTATCTTAAATAATTATTGGTCTATGTGTTTTATTTTACAATGCCATATGACTAAATAAAACCATGTATTCTATGAATAAATATACTCTAATTAGTATATTTTAAATATGAATAGACAAAATCCACTTTGAATATTTTGTTTTTTTAGTGCAATTCACCAAATATATTCCTCAATCTACTTTAATTCACCATCTATAAAATACTTGAATCATGATCAGGTGAATCTTGAACCGAATCATAGTTGTTTGAAGCTGAAGTAACTTAAACTAGAAATGGTACAATGGCTGAAGCCATTGTGAGTGGCTGCATAGATGTTGGAAGGGTTAGGGATGAAGAAGGAAGAGGAAGGGGAAGAAGAAGGAAGAAGAAAGAAAAGGGAAGAAGAGGAAAGAAGAAGAAGGAAGAGGAGGAGGAAGAAGAAGAAGGGGAAGAAGGGGAAGAAGAAGAAGGGGAAGAAGGGGAAGAAGAGGAAGAAGGGGAAGATGAGGAATAAGAGGAAGAAGGGGAAGAAGAGGAAGAAGGGGAAGAAGAGGAAGAAGAGGAAGAAGGGGAAGAAGAGGAAGAAGGGGAAGAAGAGGAAGAAGTGAAGAAGATGAAGTAAGAAGAATGTGTTGTAAGGGGCTGAAAGTGTTGTAAAGTGCTGAATGTGTTGTAAGGTGTTGTAAAGTGCTAAATGTGTTGTAAAGTGCTGAATGTGTTGTAAAGTGCTGAATTTGTTGTAAAGTGCTGAATGTGTTGTAAAGTGCTAAATAAGTTGTAAAGTGCTGAATGTGTATTCAAGTGCTAAATGTGTTGTAAAGTGCTAAATGTGTTGTAAGGTGTTGAATTTGTTGTAAAGTGCTAAATGTGTTGTAAGGTATTGAATGTCTTGTAAAGTGCTAAATGTGTTGTAAAGTGCTTAATGTGTTGTAAAGTGCTAAATGTGTTGTAAAGTGCTGAATGTGTTGTAAAGTGCTGAATGTGTTGTAAAGTGCTAAATGTGTTGTAAAGTGCTAAATTTGTTGTAAGGTAGTGAATTTGTTATAAAGTGCTAAATGTGTTGTAAGGTATTGAATTTTTTGTAAGGTATTGAATGTTTTGTAAAGTGCTAAATGTGTTGTAAAGTGCTAAATGTGTTGTAAAGTGATGAATGTGTTGTAAGGTGTTGAATGTGTTGTAAAGTGCTAAATGTGTTGTAAGGTGTTGAATTTGTTGTAAAGTGCTAAATGTTTTATAAGGTGTTGAATGTGTTGTAAAGTGCTAAATGTGTTGTAAGGTGTTGAATTTGTTGTAAGGTGCTGAATGTGTAGTAAGGTGTTGAATTTGTTGTAAAGTGCTAAATGTGTTGAATTTTTGTTAAAGTGCTAAATGTGTTGTAAGGTATTGAATGTGTTGTAAAGTGCTAAATGTGTTGTAAGATGTTGAATGTGTTGTAAGGTGCTAAATGTGTTGTAAGGTGTTGAATTTGTTGTAAGGTGTTGAATTTGTTGTAAGGTGCTGAATGTGTTGTAAGGTGTTGAATTTGTTGTAAAGTGCTAAATGTGTTGTAAGGTGTTGAATTTGTTGTAAAGTGCTAAATGTGTTGTAAGGTGTTGAATTTGTTGTAAAGTGCTAAATGTGTTGTAAGATGTTGTAATGTATTGTATCTGTGGTAATGAATTGTTAGTGTGGTAATGTGTTGTATGGGGAGTAATCTGTTGTACTGGTCCAATGTAAGTCTATGGGAAAAAGTGCTTGAACTTTTGTTAATATCTGAAAAAGTGCTAAATGTGGAAGTGTGAAAAGTAATAGCAATAATGAGACGGTGAAGCCGGTCGTAACGATGTATAATTTGTTGAATTTGGTGAAAGCGTTGAAGAGTTGAAAAGTGCCAAAATCTGGCGGTGGAAGAAGAAGAAGAAGAAGAATAAACAGTAGGAGAGCATATAGTGGCTGCATAGTCTATGCAGCCACTCAATAAAGGGGATCAGCAGGTGTATACAGGAAGTGTATACAGGAGGTGTATACAGGAGGTGTATACAGGAGGCGTATACAGGAGGCGTATACAGGAGGCGTATACAGGAGGAGTATACAAGAGGCGTATACAGGAGGCGTATACAGCAGGTGTATACAGGAGGTGTATACAGGAGGAGTATACAGGAGGTGTATACAGCAGGTGTATACAGGAGGTGTATCCAGCAGGTGTATACAGGAGGAGTATACAGCAGGTGTATACAGGAGTATACAGGAGGTGTATACAGCAGGTGGATACAGGATGTGTATACAGCAGGTGTACACAGCAGGTGTATACAGGAGGAGTATACAGGAGGTGTAGACAGGAGGTGTATACAGGAGGTGTAGACAGGAGGTGTATACAGGAGGAGTATACAGGAGGTGTATACAGGAGGTGTATACAGGAGGTGTATACAGGAGGTGTATACAGGAGGTGTAGACAGGAGGTGTATACAGGAGGTGTATACAGGAGGTGTATACAGGAGGTGTATACAGGAGGTGTATACAGGAGGTGTAGACAGGAGGTGTAGACAGGAGGTGTAGACAGGAGGTGTATCCAAATGTGAATGGTTTTCAAAAGAGATCTCTCGTCAGAGTGTTCCACGTGCCACTCAGGGGGTTTGTGTTTTTGCCCTGACCCATGAAAAATTAGAGGGAACATTGGAGGACGTATCTCCACATGTTGGTGCTCTCGGTCAGGACGACTGGAGTTACAATGGTGTATGTTTTAGGGTGACGAGGGAAATCCCAGCGCCTAAGGGGAGAAACAAGCAAATCCCACACCGTGCCACCAAATAGTAGTATTTATCTCTGTATGTGTTATTTCAAGCGCATAAACTGTTTTTGTTATTTGTTGAGCTAAAATGTCATGACACAGGTGCTCGGAGAAAGCCCTGGGCAGAACGACTTAATACAGACTAGTGTTAATAGTTTATCCTGTATTTCATTGTTTGTTTTTTCTTCTAAAATGTCTGTCTAAAGTCAAGTTAAATCAAATACATCTGCTGCTAACATTACATTTCAACATTTCCCCGTGATCTTAAATCATATTTGTAGTTTGACCTGGATAGACTAAAGGAGACTACATCGGAGAGGGTGATTTTATCAGTGCTTTTGAGGCTGCTGGACTGATTCTCGCCTCAGACACGTCGCACCCTCAGGATCCTGACGTCTCAGATCTTTTGGACGAGGTGTGTATCCAGAAGAGTGACCAGGCCCTGGACCTATAGGGACCTAATTTCATCTCAGCTTCAGACTTTGAACATTTCTCTTTGAGTGTAACGGCAATCCGGCTCCTGTCAGCTGGGAACGGCTGATATATATAATAGTAGTACAATGACCTATATAGCAGCCTCCTATTCGATGTATAGTCTTGCATGCATAGGGCTTTTAATATTATATTTTAGTCCACACATGCCACGGTATTTTTGTTGTAAGTGTAGCATAGTTTGCAGACTGAGTGATAGAAAATAGCAGTAGTAGCAGCAGAAGTGACAGTAGTCAGGGGAAAAAAGGTACAACAGCAGCAGTATGAGAATAAATGTATTATCAGCACAGTCGTAAAAGCAAAAATATTGTGTTATCGTACTAGTGATGGAAGCAATGGCAGCACATTTATAAAGCTGGTCTAGTTTTATGTTATAATAATAAAAAATGTTGAAAAATGTAAAACAAGAAAAACATTTTGCATACTTGCGAGTCACTAGACACTTTGGTGAGTGAGGATGGCGCTCAATTTTTCCCATTTATGTCATGTAAAAGCTGATCCGAAAAGAGGCCAAAAATACATGCATGTGCAAACTAGCAAAGTTTATGCCATAGTTACATATTTTATGATTTGAACATTAGATTTTGAGATATGGAACTACCACACTGCGACTCATATCCAAAAATAACACCTTAAAGCGGCATTGTCTCCAGTACGTATACCTTCCAGGGGTATTATGCGGGAAGAAAGATCAGACACACGCTCTGATTGGACAAAGAAAGAGAAAGAACTGGACAAGAATCAGGGCGTACGTGCAATCAATGCTATTTTTTTTATTGTTTTTGTTTTTTTCACCAAAGCAGGTTGCAGCTATCGTCTGGTACAAAAACATCCGATTCTCGCAGATGCATAATACATCCAGAGAAATTGGTTTTGGTGGGAGACAGATGGTACCTATATATATGGTGAGCATATTTCAGCCAAGCAATAAGAGCAAGCATCAAAGCAAAGTGTATTTACAGGGAGAGGAATACAAGCAGTAAAGGGATCTGGGAGAGCTGGATATTATGGGTGAAGCAAATGTAATTCTATGATTTACTTTAAAACTCAGCACAAGACGCAGTGTTGAAGATACTGGGGTATAAATTGGTTTACACGTGGAAGAGAACTGTTTTTATATTGGGGGAAACATTGGCTAGCAGCATTGTAGTGAATAAATGTTTATGTTTATCTCATATATAAATTATACATCTGTTTCTACATGTTTGCACACAGGTTGTTTAACTATCATTTACCTTATTTTACACAATTCTCCAGATTTTTGAGAATATTAACACAGCAATATGTTGATTCAGCTTTTTATTTCGAATGATTGGGGATGCTAGGAATTATTTGAGCTTTATTGCATAGTATAATAATGTGAATAAAGGATTTTCACATCCAACATCAACAGCAAATCACAGACTAAAGTTCAGATGCTAAAATATAATTATTGATTGACTGCGGAACCTTCCGCAGTCAACCATTGGTTTTGTATTTCTTTATTCCGTCATTTTTTTTGACACGTTTCACAGCTTTCACATTTTCAACAATTTCCACAAGTTATACATCAAAACGTTCCACATGTTTGGGAGATTATTGCTATTACTTTTGGGACTTCAGCGATTTCCGGTTTTTCCGCAATCGGACAAAAATCTGCATTGAGAATTCTGCAATGCATTTTAATAGGCCCATGCATTTTAATAGGACTTCAGCTCTTTCAGACATTTCTACAGTTTCAATGATTCAACAGTTTCAAGGATTCAACAGTTTCAAGGATTTCAGCAGTTTCAAGATTTCAAGAGTTTCAAGGACTTCAACAGTTTCAAGGACTTCAGCAGTTTCAAGGACTTCAGCAGTTTCAAGGACTTCAGCAGTTTCAAGGACTTCAGTGTAATCATGCAACCTAATAGGGATTTTTCCATGTAAACCAGTATAATGCAACTTAATAGGGATTTTTCCATGTAAACCAGTATAATGCAACTTAATAGGGTTTTTTCATGTAAACCAGTATAATGCAACTTAATAGGGTTTTTTTTCATGTAAACCAGTATAATGCAACTTAATGGGGATTTTTCCATGTAAACCAGTATAATGCAACTTAATAGGGGTTTTTACATGTAAACCAGTATAATGCAACTTAATAGGGTTTTTTCCATGTAAACCAGTATAATGCAACTTAATAGGGTTTTTTCCATGTAAACCAGTATAATGCAACTTAATAGGGTTTTTTCCATGTAAACCAGTACAATGCAACTTAATAGGGATTTTTCCATGTAAACCAGTATAATGCAACTTAATAGGGTTTTTTACATGTAAACCAGTATAATGCAACTTAATGGGGATTTTTCCATGTAAACCAGTATTATGCAACTTAATAGGGATTTTTCCATGTAAACCAGTATAATGCAACTTAATAGGGATTTTTCCTTGTAAACCAGTATAATGCAACTTAATAGGGTTTTTTTCATGTAAACCAGTATAATGCAACTTAATGGGGATTTTTCCATGTAAACCAGTATTATGCAACTTAATAGGGATTTTTCCATGTAAACCAGTATAATGCAACTTAATAGGGTTTTTACATGTAAACCAGTATAATGGAACTTAATAGGGGTTTTTACATGTAAACCAGTATAATGGAACTTAATAGAGGTTTTTACATGTAAACCAGTATAATGCAACTTAATAAGGATTTTTACATGTAAACCACTATAATGTAACCTAATAGGGGTTTTTACATGTAAACCAGTATAAAGCAACTTAATAGGGATTTGTACATGTAAACCAGTATAATGCAACCTAATAGGGATTTTTCCATGTAAACCAGTATAATGCAACTTAATAGAGATTTTTCCATGTAAACCAGTATAATGCAACTTAATAGGGATTTTTCCATGTAAACCAGTATAATGCAACCTAATAGGGATTTTTCCATGTAAACCAGTATAATGCAACCTAATAGGGATTTTTCCATGTAAACCAGTATAATGCAACCTAATAGGTTGCATTATACCACCAGACCAAGACCCAAACGAAGACTCAGACCACCACCAGATAATGACCACAGACCAGGTTTCCTTAGTTACAGGAACCAAATTGTTTCAGCGGTGAGGGGATTTTTCAGTTTCAAGGACACTTTCAATACATTCAGTAGTTTCAAGGATTTCAACTGTTTAAGAATTTAACCAGTTTCAAGGATATCAGGAGGTTCAAGGATTTCAGGAGTTTCCACACTTTCAACAGTTTCCAGGTTTAAAAAAAGTTTCAAGGATTTCAGGAGTTTCAATGTTTCAACAGTTTCAAGGATTTCAGGAGTTTAAAGGTTTCAACAATTTCAAGGACTTCAGGAGTTTCAAATATCTATCAAGTATTTTAACAGTTTCAAGGCCTTTTAAAGGATTTCAAGGATTTTTTTTAGCAGATTTCCACATTAGATCTGTTCCGCAGTCAATCGCAATGGCTTCAGCCATTGCAAGTTTCTAGTTAGAAATATTATGCATTAAATTAAAAATTAAATTAAATGTGACAAATTATCTTAAGTAAAAAATACATCGTGAAACGAGAATGAATAATGCTTTCTGCCTGTAACTGCCTTTGCTACCACCAGAGGGAGAGGTTGAATTTGTTTTTTGTTTTTTTTTAATCCCAAACTGAATCGTAACTGAATGCAGATTGTGAAGAATGTTATTTCACATGATAATTTGCCAAACACTAATTTATGGAAAATACACACTGTTTTAAAGTGTGTGATGTCATAGTGGTACAATGACATCATACTGTGACAGGACTGACATGGGAGCTTTCAGACTTCTGGAGTTTCTCCCAGAAATTGCTGATATTAGCGTGGATGGATTAAAAAAACAAGGGAACAATATCGTAACACAAACTCAAAAGATTGTCAATTGTCAATTTTATTTTTGCGCTTCTTTTTATGAGACTTTATTCTCCGGAACTACAACAAGTAACCTTTCCATTATGCAATTCACTTTAGCATCCTTTCTCCTCGGTTGCCATCCCGATCTGACATGGGCACTTAAGCTTCACCAGCATTTACTGCCCGTCTCCTCTTTCCCACGATGCACCTCTGTTGGGATAACGAGAGGCGACAGCCAATCGAAGCAGGCGGCCCCACTCTCGCTCTGGCCCTTTGGGTTTGAAGGCCGTTTAAGCCAATATAGTAACGACAGAGGCGATGCATGCAGACCCTCTCAGAGCAGCGCAAACAAACCAAGGCGCCAGAAAACAGCGGGAATTGCCTCAGAAACACCTTTGTTTTTCCAGCTGTCAGCGTGACATCCGCAGAGAAAATGTATTGCATTGAAAAGCTACAGGTGTATTCTTGTCTTTTCTGTGTTGAGTTTAGATCTGGTCGTTTCTCATTAGTGCTGTTACTATGGGAAACACAAGACCTTTCCTCTTTCAAATGTGATGATTGAAGGAGTCTCAGACCTTGACCTGTGACATCTATGATGGCAGGAGATTTCACAAAAGAGCACTTTGAGATTTTGAAATGTAAAGTGCGTCTTACAAAAATGATAATTATTTTTTATAAAGATATATTTGATAGAGTTCAGATATAAGCAGTTATAGCAAGCACATTTTGATTGAACTAATGTTCCACAGATGATCTAATAACACAATGCTTAAACACAACAAGCTGCTAAAAGCTCCAGATACACAAACTTAAACATGACTATTGTCCTGCTACGTAGATCTTAAAATGTTGACAGAAATTATATTTATACTATCTCTTGTCTTAGTCACCATTTCCGCCTGTTGGAATTTTGGTTTAATCACAAAGTGTATACAAATGGTAAGTATTATTGAATTAATGTTGTCTCAAAGTATTTTATTGTTATTATCTTTAGGTAAACTCTGAGGCATAACGCTTCCGTTTTGCTGCATTCAGGTGCTCCAAGATTACATGACGGAAGATAAAAACCACTAAACAGAAAATAAAACAACATTTACATAAAGAAAAGCATCAAATGTTTGGCGAACATTTATAAATTTACAATACGTCCGAGTCCTGATTGGGAGGGGAAGGCCGATTTCGAACAAGACTGAAACCAGGATAGATTGGGACATCACACCAGTAGTTATCGCAGAAGACTTTACAAAGCTGGCAACACAGAACAAAGAATCAAACATTTCAATCACAAGAAATGCAATGATATATACACATAGAGCCATTTGTCCTTAAGGGGCAGAAGACCATGTTCATAAATGTTGATAAAGTCCATAAATGTCGTTAAATGTCGACTGTCCTGGATCTCAACCGTAGTTTTCTTGAAGGACGTCGATTCACCATCAAAGATCAGAGAATCAAACTGTTCAAACTAGTGGGGGCAGATCCTGGCTCAAAATGGTCCACGTGCGCAGACATTCTTGCAATCTCACTGGTTGCTGGTGGGGGTGTACCCGGAAAGAGAATTACCCAGTGCATTCTAACAACACCTTGTTTCCTCTCGAAAATGGTTTTACAAGACGGTCCAAAACGTTCCAGATGCCGTCAATACTGGGTGTAGTATATTTTTTGGACCAGCCTAGTTTAGCCGCTGTGGACGTACACTATGTCCGTTAATATCAACAGTCTATGGCTCCAACACAAGAAATGCCTCGAGCTATTGGTCCATAAGGGGCGGCTGACCAATGTCCATAAATGTTGATAAAGTCCATAAATGTTGTTAAATGTCGATTTTAACCTCTGTCTTTAGGCCCTTGCAAATTATTATTACAGAACCAACATTACCAATTACACTGATTTTCAACCAGCATGCACTGAATTACTTATTTCTAGCTAACTCTGCTAACAAGCCAACTCTGCCTGTCTATGTTCTAAGCTGCAATCACCAACCTGTTACTGGTAAAGCACGTATTCAATAAGACCGAGTTATACCTGCCTCTTTTAAACTGGAACGTATCGTCTTACAATCTTTACTTGTTGTTGTCAGTACAGCGTGTTCCGTAAGGCTTCCTTTGATCCCTGCGGTTATTCAGACAGAAGAGTTGATCTACAGCCAGAACACCTGCGGGGTCTGTTTACAGCACGTTTCAAAGATAATTTAGCTTTACTGCTGCTCCGAGATTTACATGCATCCATTATATATGAGCCGCGAGAATGCATCGCAACCAAAGAAGATTATGTTCAGTGCATTTGGAGTAATTTCATCTTTCAAATGGAACAGCAGCAAAACAGAAGATCATAACCTCGGGAGTATGCAAGGCTGGTTTCTCTTTATCTGTTAGTTTAATCTGATTTATGATGTCTATTATGAGGACAAACTAGGCCTGCACAGTAGGATGTCACATCACTTAATGAATAATGGGTTACACAAAATTACTTTGTACTGTATTTCAATTCTGATTGCAAATACGAGCGCATCTCTAAGTAAGTAAGTAAGTAAGTCATCTTTATTTATATACCGCCTTTCACAGACCAGAGTCACAAAGTGGTTTACAATTGTTATTAATTTTTTTTGGGCATTTTTCCTCTCACTCCACACTGAGATGAGAGCGGGTCGCCAGTACAGGAGGCGCATGCCAGACCTATTGTGCATGTTTTTAGTGGTAGTGGAAACCGGAGTACCCGGAGGAAACCTACACAGACACGGGGAGAACATGCAAACTCCACTCAGAAAGGCCCTGGTCTGACCGAGATTCGAACCCAGGACCTTCTGGCTGAGAGGCGAGAGTGCTATCTACTCAGCCACCGTGCCAACAGTACAAGCCTCCATGCTATTATTTTCTTCCCCTTAATTCATTTCTGGGTTGGGGGTGGCAGGGAGGGAATTCAGGCAAAGTGGGGTCTAGTGTCTCGCCCAAGGACACAACGACAAGGAGACATCAGTGGGAGTCGGTGGACAAGGTCTTGTGGTGGGCTCGAACCCACAACCTTCAGGATCAACTGAGCCACTGTCGCCCCACAACAAGTCTAATAAGCCAAAAAAGTAGCTATATGTTTGAACCACCAACGTTATCTATTGTGTATTTGGGAAGTCCATGACCCAGAGTGGAGGAGCCTATTGTATAAACGTGTTTTTAAGCTACAAAATAGCACACAAAAACATTTGTCTGCATTCTGGTTGAATTATTATTGTGTAATAATAAAAAATAAAAAAAATGGCTTTTTTCCCCCCTCTTCTGGAAAAATTATATACAAATACACAGACAATGCTTGCACACAACAAAAGAAGACACACAGAATAAAAAAAACAAGGAAAAGCAAGGGAAAACATTAAGTAAAGAAAGAAAATGAAGTGGTTGTGGGTGATGTAAGTACGTATTTGTATGTAAAAAGATATATTTTTACCCAACGCAACACAATACATACATTTTCCGCACAGAAAAAAAACCAGACGTGACCCACTTTTGAAATGTTATAACAAATCCAGTATGAATCTGTTTCCAAAATGTAACCATACAAATTTCACAAGTCTCGACAAAATAAACAGGTGTGAAAAGGAGCATGATTCTAGATTTAATGCTTTGGAATACACTTTGGAATAGAATTTTCTTATTTCATACAGAACCAAGCCATCTCTAAAAGGCCGCACTGAACCTGCATGAATAAACTCCACAAATGCAGTCATCACAGCAGGTCTATCTTCAAAGCTCCTGAGCAAAAAAAAAAAACCCGCCGGCTACTTCTATATCCTTTAAAATATCATTCTTTTTTTCTTTCTTTATTTGGTGTTGGCCGTGTGCTCCTACTTTGCAATTCAACAGCCGACAGAGTGCTTCTGCATGACTGACCGAGGCTCGTTTCTCATTTGAAAAGGCCAGTACACAGATACAGCCCCAATGTCTTTCTCATCTCACGGTTGGAGCGGTGGACACTTCTTTGTTTGTTCTCATGGCTAATGTGGCAGAAAAACACACACGAATGACGAGCCCCTTTTTGTCAATGGTTTTCAGAGCCGGTAACTAGAACATAATGCGGAAAATATGTATGTTGCGGCACTATTAGACTGGTGTTAATCTAGTCGCCGTGTGAAGTTTGGATAATAACATGAATATTAATGTTATTGCTTTGAATTTAAATCAGCTCCTTCCAGATAGTCAAAGTGTTTTCTCCTGCATTATTCATTCACTGTACGCTGTTGGCTGAGATAAGCTGCAGATGGCAAAGTGGCTGCCAAAATATTTCACTGTATATAGGAAGGTATGTGAGGTGTCTTGCCAAATAACACAATGTACTCTGTGATACGGTCTTACATAATGTGCCAAAGCATCAACATCCTCGTTCTAAACATTGTGAGACAAGAATTTTGAATTATTTTAGTCATTTTCAAATATAGCTGTAGTCATTTCAACTGAGTTCGTTATAATCTTTGTGGTAGATTTTGTAAGTATATAATTTCGTTGTTTTCCTGCGTATGGGGTTGTTTGAGAGACGTCCGGTAAATGTGCCAATTTTGCAGATAAAACGATTCAATTCAATTACATTTATTTTTGGTATAGCCCTAAATCACAACCGTGGTTATCTCGAACGACGTCAATTCACCATCAAAGATCAGAGAATCAAACTGTTCAAACTAGTGGGGGCAGATCCTGGCTCAAAATGGTCCACGTGCACAGACATGCTTGCAATCTCACTGGTTGCTGGTGGGGGTGTACCCGGAAAGAGAATTACCCAGCGCTGGCCCACACTAGTTTGAACGGTTTGATTCTCTGATCTTTGATGGTGAATCGACGTCCTTCGAGATAACTACGGTTGTGATTTAGGGCAACACCTAGTTTCCTCTCAAAAATGTTTTTTTACAGGACGGTCCAAAAGTGGCTGCTGGCAATAGCAGATGTACAGTATTTTGAACTTCATAAGCCACAAACTATATATCATTTTAAAGCTTATTTTCTCAGCTATATTTATATGTAAGTGTAAACGATATCAGACATTGCATTAAAAAGATATAACGCATTAATATGAGCACAAAATAAATCACGTCTGTATTCGTTTTTTACCTTTCGTCTTCTGCTGCTCCAAAAAATTAGACTTTCCCCATCCTTGCTTAGTCTTTCTCTCCGTAACTGTTCATTGAAGAAGAACATCCACTTGTATTTCCCAAAGTATAATCCATTCTGCAGATTTAATCAAAAAACGCCCCGAAAAGAGGTCCAGACTGCTCTTTTACATTTCACCAAGTTTGAGCTTTGTTTTTTTTACTATTTTCATGTTCTCAGATGTCTATTACATCTAATATGTACAGTATGAGGATTGGCTTTGGAGCATATTTTATCGAGCCAACAGGTGTCACCGGCACTGCCTCTGGATGTTGAGAAACATTGAACCAGTCCGGCCCTCGGCGCGTAGCAAACATTTTTTTTTGGCCCTCTGATGTATTTTACTTTGACATGCCTGCTATACTGGGTGGAGTAATTTTTTTTGGACCAGCCTAGTTTAGCCGCTGTGGACTTACACTACGTCCAATAATATTTACAGTCTATGGCTCGAACACAAGAAATGCCTCAAGCCATTGGTCCATAAGGGGCGGCTGACCAATGTCCGTAAATGTTGATAAAGTCCATAAATGTTGTTGGATAAAACAATGGGCCAAATCTCAGACCAAAATATTAAGCTACACATTTGTCTGGCATCGCGTCTGTTCAGCTCAAACCACTCAGGAACAGACAGACAGCAAAACCAGGCCATAAAATGAATGAACGCGGTGTTTACTTCAACATCATTTTAATTCGATCCACAAAGGGAAGGATCATCGAGTGGAGCTGAAGCGGGGCGGTGATGAGTGCCACAGTCCGATCTCAGCGTCAAGAGTTGAATTCTCTGGACGTCATTTCAGTTTTTGTTATAAATATATTGCAATAACAGGCTCTGGCAAACAGCTGCGTTCCGGACAGAATGACTTAATACAGACTTATTGGGGCTGTGTGTAGTCTTGTGTGCTGATGACAAATACATTTCTGTAAATTTCTCCGGTGTGAGATCATAAAAGTCTATCTTATCTTATCTTATGCCAGTGTTGGGGAAAGTAACACAAACAATAAAAATAGTGCACATAATAAATATATCACTTTATTTCGTATGCCCAGTTGAATATACAGGCCTCAATAGATGTGTGTGTAGATTTGTAGACAGACTTGCAGTAATAACAATAATTGACTGGGAGGGCAGGTTTTCAGCTTCTATAGCCATGGCAGGCCCAGCTTTATAGTATATAAATTTAGCAACATCCAGTACTTAATGGAAATGACTGGAATTTGTGTTTGTGAACTTAATATAGATTGTTATGGCAGCTGATAAGTGCCATTCTGAACTGGCAACCTGCAACTGTTGGCAACTGCTGGCAAGCTGTTGTGGTCATAATGTTTTGGCTCATGTTTGTAAAATTTTATGCAGAAAATTTGTCTCTAAAAGAACCCACTCCTTCCACACACTGCTCTGTTAAAAAATGCATCGGGAGGCATATTTTTAACAGGCTCTCCGACAAATCCCTTTGAGATATCTGTGAAAGCTCCCGGCTCATTCCTCTCCCCTTGGTTTGTTTACTGAGGGCCTAAATGTACAAGATGCAGTGTCAGAATAGCTTTTTCATTGCACCTTTAATGCAGCTTCGTGGCAGAAACACATCGTCCTCTTCCCAAATAACCTTTAAGACCAACTTTTGGGAAAACGCTCGTGTGTGAAATGATTTCTATGGCATTCAGCTGTCATAGCGAGAGAAAAAAAAGCTATCAGTCTGAGAAAGGACAGCAATTTATCAGTCTCCAGAGCTATGCAAAGGGCCAGGCTGTGTTTGGGGAAAGCATTGTCCACGCTGGAACATTTGGGTCCAAAGTTATCATGCCAGCCCTTCAACTTCAAACGAGAATCGTAAGACTGTTTTCAAAGCATTCAAGGCGCACCAAAACCCCAAAGTAACAGTACATCAGAAAATTGGTAAATCAGAAAGTTTGCAGGGGAAAACATTGGCCAAGATTTGGAAAATAAAGGTCAGCGTGTCTCATTCAGAGCTGCAGATACTGTGGGAGCAAATGGAGATGGAGACTTGTAATAGTGATAGTAATAGTGATCAGAATCCATTATGACATTTTCAACACACTGTAAGGTTGTTACAAAGCAATTACTTTGGTGGAGAAGAAAGCAATCATGTTTTTGTAGCACCTCTCAGAGCATAACCACTCATTGTGTTATTTAAGAAATTTGGTACAGCTATTGACACACAAGCACACACACGCGCACGCGCACACGCACATGCACACGCACACACAGGACCAACTCTTCTATTGACACAGCTATTGCCAAATCTGGAACCATCACCAGCAGATTGTAGTTTGGCAGTGGCGAAGTATGTGATAGTAAAGTAATCTGTTCTGGTTCTATCCAGAAATTGAAGCCGAAGCAAGAGGAATGTTGGAATGCCAAAGATTATGGTGCTACTCCCCACGGGCTTCGTTAGACCTTAGTACGAAATGTAATTTATACGATGGTGTGGTACGACCAGGCCCGGGAAAAGTCTACGTCAAGTCTCAAATAGCGGCTTAAGTCCGACTCAAAGCCAAGTCCCCATCTCTGTGACAATCAAAAAATATATGCAAGATGTTGGCCAGTAGAAAGGACCGGTTTGTGAATTGAATAACAATCAAATAATGATATGGGAAAACAGACATTACGACAGATTTTCTTGTTCAACATTTAATTCAAAAAGTCTCCTTTCTCATAGTTGCATTGACACCTGCCCTCTGACCGCAATAGAATTCTAGATCTTGAACCTATAGATTATTGATTCACCACAATGTACTGTATATTCTACTATTCCAACATCGACAACCTCAAAAACCCAGCACACACACACACACACGCACACGCTACGAGGTCAATCGCATTTGTACCTGTGATATCCGGCTTCTGCGGCATGAAGAACTGGTAGAAGGTTGGTTCCGACAGTCCTTTGACGTTTCTCGCCGTGATCTCCACCTCGTATCTGGTGTTCCACTGCAGCGGCTGGAGCATGGCGAAGTCGTTGGCGCCGGGAACTAGCTTCGTCATCCACTGCTCTTCCTTGTCCTGAGGGAGGAAAAAGTTAAGACACTTTCATACGTCTATATTTTGACATGATACGACTTGTTTGATTGACAAATTTGTATGTTTCGAATCCATTGCTTTCTGAAATCTAGAGCAAAGGAACAATATTGTGACAGAGTGAGAGCCTTGTGATGCGTGCAAGACTCAATTAAAATGTGTTTGCAATCATCATAATTGTTTAGGCAATTTTTGTACTTTGACAAATAATTGTGTTGTCAGCTCATTGTAATGCTACACACAGCCCACTTCAATAGAATACAAGCCATTGATGAATGTGTTTGCCAGAGAAACTTTTGTTAGCGTACATTAGCATAATACATCTCAGTATTGGTATCCTATATGGATGACATGGGCACGTTTGCAGTATTATCTATCGAAGGCAAGACAAGGCACGTTTTTTGGTGTAGCACAGTTCATACACACGGCAATGCAAAGTGCCGAACAAAACAAGATTGAAACAGTGACACCAGGCATTAAAATAATCAAAATACATTAAAAAGAAAGATAAAAATATAAAATCCCTCAGTTGTATGTACAGATAAACAGAACTGTTAACCTGGATTTGAACATTGTCAGAGAAGAAGCCTGTCTCACTTTTTCAGGAAGATTCATCCAGATTTTAGCTGCATGAATCTGAAATGCTGCCTCCCCGTGTTTAGTTCTATCTCTGGGCACTGGAAACCAATACTACAATATTTTTGGAACTTGATCAGTAATAATCTGGTTCCCTGGATTCAAGCAAATGTTTTCATCTTTGTCATTTTGTTTTTATGGAACAGGAACAATCTTATTTCAAGCACTGGCAAATCAGCTTAGGAACATAATATAGTTTTAAGACGAGAGATAAAACAGAGAAAAGTCCAGCATTACTTTTTCAATCCCTTCCATCTTCATCACTTGCATAGATTGACTTAAAGGAGCAGTTTGTAAAAATCTGGCCAAAGGTGGTGCTGCAACCTCTCACACTCTTTTTTCACAAAGGCCTCGATAGAAATCCTTTTGTCAGTAATGATTTGAGAATCAGAACGAGACCTTTTTTAATTCTGCGGCCACATGGTACTTTACCAGTGAGATTAGCTTGATGCGGTGAGTTCTGGCAACCCGGATCACAGACTTTCTGATTGGTCAAACAGTGGAGGGCGGGACATCGAAATGCAAACAATAACAAGTTTATGGGCTGTCAAACTCATTTTAAAATTCCAAAATCTCGGCTGAACTTCTTTTATGGCAAGGCAAGGCAAGGCAAGTTTATTTGTATAGCACAATTCATACACAAGGCAACTCAAAGTGCTGAACAAGATAGCATTAAAATCATAAATAATCACAGAACATTAAAACGAAAGATACAAATATTAAATCCCTCAGTTGTATGCACAGCTAAACAGCACCGTTTTTAACTTGGTTTTAAACATTGTCATTGAGGAGGCCTGTCTCACATCTTCAGGAAGATTGTTCCAGATTTTAGCAGCATGAATCTGAAAAGCAGCCTCCCCATGTTTAGTTCTGACTCTGGGCACTAACAGGAGTCCAGTCCCTGTGCTCCTCAGAGTCCCAGCAGGAGTCCAGTCCCTGTGCTCCTCAGAGTCCCAGCAGGAGGCCAGTCCCTGTGCTCCTCAGAGTCCGGGCTGGTTCATATGGGACTAACATGTCACTAATATATTTTGGTGCGAGGCCATGGAGAGACTTGTAACAAGCAGAGCTGTTTTAAAGTCTATTCTCTGAGCCACAGGAAGCCAGTGCAGAGACCTGAGGACTGGACTAATGTGGTCGTACTTCCTGGTTCTAGTCAGGACTCGAGCTGCTGCATTTTGAATGTACTGCAGCTGTTTTACAGCCTGTTTGGACAGACCTGTGAGCAGGCCATTGCAATAGTCTAACCTACTGGAGACAAATGCATGGATAAGAATCTCCAAGTCTGCTTTAGACACTATGTTTTTGATCCTGGCAATGTTTTTTAGACGGTAAAAAGCTGCTGATGTTACTGATTTGATGTGGCTATTAAAATTTAAGTCTGAGTCCAGTATTACCCCTAGATTTCTGACCTTGTTTGAAGGTTTTAGGGAGAGAGACTGTAGATGACAGATGACGCTCTCTCTTTGTTTCTGGGGACCAAAGACAATCATTTCAGTTTTGTCTGCGTTTAGCTGAAGGAAGTTGTTTTGCATCCACTCACTGATCTGTTGGATACAGTGAAGGAGTGAGTCCACTGGTCCATGTTCTCCTGCAGTCAGTGAGACATAGATCTGAGTGTCGTCTGCATAGTTATGATAGGACACTTTGTTTCTGCGTATTAACTGACCTAACGGCAGCATGTAGAGATTGAACAGAAGAGGTCCCAGGATCGACCCCTGTGGGACTCCACAGGTCAGGGCCATATGATCTGAGACACAGTTTCCAATCTCCATAAAGTACTTCCTGTCTTCAAGGTAAGACCTAAACCAACTTAGGGCGGTGCCAGCGACGCCAACCCAGTCCTCTAGTCTCTGTAAGAGGATCTCATGGTCGACAGTGTCAAAGGCAGCACTCAGATCTAACAAGATTAAGATTGAGACTTTGCCTGCGTCAGTGTTCAGCCGGATATCATTTGTAACCTTGACGAGAGCAGTCTCAGTGCTGTGGTGGGGTCTAAAGCCGGACTGAAACATATCAAATGAGTTGTTGATTATAAGAAATCTAGTAAGCTGTAGGTAGACAACTTTTTCAAGGACTTTCCCCATAAATGGCAGATTTGAGATGGGACGATAGTTGTTGAGTACCGTAGCATCCAGGCTGCTCTTTTTTAGCAGGGGCCTGATGACTGCAGTTTTCAGGGCCTTTGGGAATATTCCAGAATCAAGGGACATGTTTACTATCTGTGTGAGTGAAGGTAACAGACTGCTCAGAACAGACTTTAGAAATCTAGTGGGTAGTACATCCAGGCTGCATGTGGAGGAGCTCAAACTGGAGATTATCTCTTGGACAGTTTGATCATTTACAGGTGCAAAGTAAGTTAGCTCAAAGAGCCTTTCTGGCTGTTGGATTGTTATCTGTGGATTGGAGACAATGGCGTTTTTGATGCCTTGAACCTTGTCATTGAAAAAATGTGCAAACTCATTACATTTACGTTTGGAAGTTAGCTCTAATGGAATTTGAACAGGGGGGTTTGTTAATCTATTAACTGTTGAAAACAGAACACGCAGATTGTTGCTGCAGCCTTCAATCATTTCAGAAAAATACCTTTCTCTCGTACTACGTAGCACCTGGTTAAACTCGCACAACTTATCTTTGAAGATCTTGTAATCAACCTGGAGGTTGGACTTGCGCTACTTCCGCTCGGCCCTCCGGCACTTTCTCTTTTGTGCCCTGACCGAGTCTGCTTTAGCCCACGGCGCCTTCTGCTTATTTTTCACTATTTTAACCTTCACAGGAGCGATGGTGTCCAGAACTTTCAAAACACTAGAGGTGACAGAGTTAAACAGTTCATCTATAGTAGAATACTATACCTGTTAAAGAAGTATTCAAAAATATTTTTTTTTATTAATGCCTTTTGACAGTTTATGGACATTTAATGATGACTTGACATAAAAATCTTCCATATTGCTACTTTAAAATATTAAGATTTCAAGTCAACGTCAAAACAAAATAATTTAGATGTTTTTTTGTTTTCTTTTAATGGAGCAGACCTTACTAGACATTAGAAGAACATGCCAAAGCCATACCATCTTACTGTATACTACTTTGAGTTATAAAAATCAACATAACCCACATTTACGGTGGCTAAAACGACACAAGATATCTTTAACTGTTGTGTTTGTAAACTGAAGATACATTCTCATGACTCAACTCCTCTTTTTGGGAATGTATCAATTTGTCTGACTGACACAACACTTCTACGTTCAACATTGTTCACACACAGTCAATGGGCGCACAAATGGGAAGAAACGGCCCTCCCAGTAACACCACTGTCTAAAAAACAAAGCGCATTATGCTTGGCCAAATTGGACGCTTTCATATCGTACTGTCTCTACTTCTGGTTAATATGGAGTGGCACTTTTAAAGTACACGGCAATTTGAAAGAGTTATCAAAAACACACCCCACATTGTTTGGTTGGAAGTGTGAAATATGGAGGCAAACAAGCTCAGCAGGGGCTTTGATTGTGGATGGTTGGTAATGGTTGCCAGTACCACTTCACTTTTGGTTTAGTACAATACAGATGAGTTAAAAACAAATGGAAAAATTGCAGGTTTTGGAAATGAAAACGTCAAGAGTTTGGGAGGAAAATCTTTTAACCACTTATGCGCTGTCAAACTGAGCACTAAATTGGGCCTCAAGTACTGTTTTTAGGAATTCAAAACAACAGGCTGCAACTGCAAATTTACCTTCACCAATTTAGAGATTTTGGAAGATCATTTATAATTTGTCGACATAAAAACAAATTGAAAGTTTTAACCCAACACATTAGTTCTGTTGGAAAATCTAACTTGGGTTATAAATCACTATTAACCTGGGAGTAAATCAAAGAATAGACCATACACTCTGGTTTAGAACCACAGACTGTATACAGTATATTAACGAACGTAGTCACGCCTATCTCCGCCGTTCTAACTAATGGGCCAAAAATTGGGCTTTCATGGAGTGATTCAAAATGGCCGCGGGGGCTGGAAAATGTGAAAAAAGCCATCTGAGAATGCGTCAGCTGCACGAGCCCCATTCCTTTAAACGAGTGACTTAAAAAATTCACAGCGAGTATGGCGCCGTAAAGATGGCGCCGTGGCAAGAGCTCTGGTGTGTGTCGTCTGGTGCACACTGGGGTAGTCTTGCACAGTTTTTCCTATGTGGTTTTACTGCAAATGGCAAATAAATGAATCTGAATCTGAATCTGAGTAAACTAGAGTGGTCAAAAAAAATTCACTCCCCTCAGCATTGACACACATGTGGAACGGAGCTTTGGGCCAAGAGCAAATTTTTGGACTATCCTGTAAAGACGTTTTCGAGAGGAAAAAAGATGCTGCTTTATGTTAGCATTGGCTAATTTTTATTCCGGGTCCACCCCCATCGGCCCGGGGTGGTATTGCAAGCATGTCAGCGCACGTCATTTTGGCCCCTTCCCACTGTTTAGAACCCGATATAATTATGGTATATGTTATTCTGCAGAAGCGTCAAAGCCAAGTACGGAAGGGTGGCAGATGTTAGTTTCATGTCTGGGCTGAAGAACGACCTGTCCAGGGTTGCACTGATTGTTTTTCATAATATCATAGTTGTATCAGAGTAAAGCTGTGTTCAGACCGGATCATGCTGCAGCGAGTTTCACTGCAAAGTCTACGGTGACGTCCGTCCATGAGCGGAATTGCATGGACGTCGGGGCACTTTTATCCCGCGGCAGACGCCTTGTTGCGGTGAGGCAGAGGCGGTGGGTACAGCGGCGAGATGCATGCAGCGAAAACAACAGATGAAAATCCTCGCTCAACAGCAGCAAAGTTGTCACGGTTTGTTTGTGCAGTGATAACTTTTCCTGATGAAATGAACAGAAATAATTAAATCATACATATATGTCAAGGTGTGATAAATAAGAATAGCCACACCATATGGCGAGAAATTTTGCCCAATTAAGAACACTTATTATCGTTGAAGTAATTTAATGTATGTATAATTAGCCAAGATTGTTGAATGCATTCGGTGTTGGGTGGAAATATATTTAGCTAAACTTAACATTTATGTAAAAAATATACAATTATAAAGACTCCATCCAAGTAATGCCTGCAAGTTTGAGTCAAGATGGATGTCATAACAAACTGGATATTTCAGCTTATTCCCCGAGATGGGGAAATAGACTCTGCTCAAACTGATATAAGCAGCTGACTTTCATACCAACTTTACAGCACGGTTTCCTTTTCAGCATACAACCTGAAGACCAATAAGAGAAATACTCTGAGTGCCACAGTTTGCAATTAAATTAATATGAATATGATCTTTAACTTTTGGCCGCCTTTTTAAAGAGTACAAATGTCCCTTTCTCCGTACCTGTCAGTACATACAGCTCTGTGACCTTAAATAAATGCTCAGTTTAGACTAGCGTGGACCCCGGCCTTACTCACTGTTTTATACTTGACGATGTACTCCACTATGGGCATGCCCCCGTCGTCCTGCTTGACCAGCCCCAGCCGGTAGGTCTTGCCCATGCCCCTCTGGCCGTGCACCGCGGGAGGACTGGGCTCTCCTGTGGGGCAACACACAGAATGGTCAGTGTGAAATGGAGCAGGTGGCAACGAGAGATATGGGTTAAGGTTGACGTCTAAGGAGAAAAATGGCTTAAAGCAGAATTAAAATAACACTATCTGGCAACCCCAACTGCAGGCTATAACTAATGCTGACAGCGCAGGGCTGCTCATGCTAATTAGCTCTGGTAATCGAGGACACTTTTCACCAATAATATAATAAATGCTTTGAATTTTGTAGATGGATTTATCACACTCAAGAATACATCAAGTATGAAATATTCCAATCATGCAAAGTAAGCAATGGAGAGAAGAAGAATTTAAGCCTGGATATATCAATTAAACTTTAATTTAATTCTGGGATTGCTAGTCGTTTTGTGGCTGCATGTTGAATGAGCAATTACTGAGAGAGTATGTGATGATTTGAAATTATTTTCATATTTGACCAGATTCTCTCCTTCTGTCTTGGTCATGTGACACGGTAACGCTGAAACGTGAGCAAATGTGCCTCCGACGCAGAGGTTCCTTTCTGGTGCCTTTAAGGTCTGTGCTTTTATCGCCTGACGTTAAACGGGTCGGAGGTCGCTGCTGTAGAGTACTCACTGATGGGCAGGGTCTGGAAGCTCTCCATGTGGCTGAACTCGCCCTGGCCTTTCCCGTTCACCGCTGCCACCCGCACCTCGTACGTGGTGTTGGGCTCCAGTCCCGTCAGCACCACCGTCGCTACACAAAGTAACACAATTCAATTAGGATTCTCGCACATTTCTCCCTTTCAATGTGTTATTCTCTTTTATTAGCGACTATGAAACTGTTTCGATAGGGTCTGCATCTTGGCAGCTCATATGCTTTCAATTCATTGGACATCATAAAAATACTGTGGTGTTGCAGCGTTTATTGCTTAAAGTAAGAATTTGTGAATGCTCGTGAAACTAGTTTTTGTTTCCTCAAATATATTCTGCACTCAATAAGAAAAGCAGCTCAGTGTACGTATCCTAAAGGCAAAACACACACATATATACAGTACGTTTATGTGACGTCATGAACAAAAATAACTGCTTTACATTCAAGAACAGTTGAAACAGTTGGGTCCTGATAAGTTACTGCCAATACCTCGAACATGTTTATAACATGTTTATAACTCTACAAACCTGCAGCTCTGTCTAAACAGACATTAGTTCTCATGCAGTGGATCCATGCATCTGTCATATCGACGAGAAAGCGGCACAGATTTACTTTATGTCACCACTTTGACCATCGCCAGCAACAAGATCGAGTGTATGAAGTTAAAGTGCACAATAAAACCTATATTATAGCATTCAATAATATGGTTCTTAAAGAAAAACAATAATCTAGGAGGTCTTGGAAACTTCCAACCACCAAAAGGTCGATCTCCTCGTAACATTTTCTGTGTGACTGTAAATGACGTGAAATTGTGGAATGCTCTGGATTTCCAACTAAAACAAGACATTCACAGATTTAAGTCACTTTATAAAAACAATATTTGGTCTGACTGTAGAGAGAATATGGCTTGAATACATTTCCATGTTGCCTCTTCCTCTTCTTGTATGTTTGTACTCGTCCCTGGTGTTTCTTTACCACTGCTGGTGTTTTCTGTTCTTTACCATTTCTGAAATTTCCCACGTGCAGTTGTTTTGCATCCTTGTAAAATGTATCTTGTCTGTAGCTATACGCCCTTAAACCCATTCATTATTCCTTTATTAATGTCGGGATGTGAGTGCAGGGTAGATGCAGTTTTAGCTCATTGCATGTTTTGTTTACATTTTTCTTTTGCATGTTGCATGTGTTTAGTGCATGTTTTGTTTTTATGAACATTTTGAGTGCACCCCTGCACAAATGGACTGCTCCGCATTTTTAACCAATCAGAAACTTTCCCCAGTGGTGTGGTGTGACGGAATGATTGTTAAGAGGCAGGGCCAGGAAGCAGAGACAGGGTCACCGGTGCGCGTGTGGACCGTGGACACTGGATTAGACTGACACCAGACCCCCCAGCACCAACAAAAGGTTGACCGAGCGCTGTGCAGAGGAGCCGTGCAGTGGAGCCGTGCAGAGGGGCCGTGCAGTGGAGCCGTGCAGTGGAGCCGTGCAGTGGAGCCGTGCAGTGGAGCCGTGCAGTGGAGCCGTGCAGTGGAGCCGTGCAGTGGAGCCGTGCAGTGGAGCCGTGCAGTGGAGCCGTGCAGAGGGGCCGTGCAGTGGAGCCGTGCAGTGGAGCCGTGCAGTGGGGCCGTGCAGTGGAGCCGTGCAGTGGAGCCGTGCAGTGGAGCCGTGCAGAGGGGCCGTGCAGTGGAGCCGTGCAGTGGAGCCGTGCAGTGGAGCCGGCTGATACGCCTGAAAAACAGCTAAGTGAAGGGACGTCTGCACGCGGGCTTCTGCATCGCAGAACTTGCTGATTTTAACTTATTGTGCATACACCAATTTTAGCCCTCTCCCCGCAGCTCCCTGGACTGGTGGAGGTGACGGGACTTTTAGCATGGCTATCGGCATCGGACCTTTCCTTTTTTAGATACATTTTATAACTGACTTTTATCTTTTTCTTTCAACTTGTACAAAATAAAACTGTTCATTTTTTCCTATTTTGTGAGTTGTGTTGTATGGCCCGGGCTTGATTTTATACAGTTGCTATTAAACTGTGACATTAACAGTTGATTTAAACGTACCATTTTCTTTGAGCTTCCTATTTGCTCCAGTATAAAATCAATGAGTGATATGTTTGAAGAAACCAGGGGTGGGACTAAAAAGGTTTTTTTTAACTCAGGGTTATATATGCACTATTTTGATATTCTACTTTTGTTTCTTGCACACTTATTTGCTCGAAATAAACGTTATCATTATTAAAGTTAAAATAATGCATCACCAATGAGATTCAACAATTAAAACTAACCCTATTCTTACCTAAAACTCTCATAAAAATGGCCTATTTCAGCGCACAAAAACCCCAGAATTCCCACATTTCTGCAGTATAGAACCAATAAGAAGTTTGCAGGTAATGACTCTGATAATGTAAATTGCAGTTTGTATAGAAAGTCCCATTAGGAGCGGATTCCTCTCACTCTGGCCCATTCCTACAGAGAGCTTTTCTAACGAGCCCGAGTCCGTCTGCACAAATTAAACACTTGAATGTTAATAGGTACTTTTGCGCGTCCTTGCTTCAGCGCCTGCAAACAAATGCGCTCATTTGGAGCCGAGCTTGGATACTTCTCTGGCTTTTTAATTTGGCCAAAAGTGCTGAAATGTTGCGTGTCTGCGTTGGGATATCATTATAGTTGAGGGTTTATGGCGGGAAAAAATTGCCATATTTTAGAGTGCGTACTACAGCAGCCGTAGTGTTCTTATTATACCTACTTGAAAATCTGAAAACAACTATTTCCAGGCAATTTTGATTTGCATGTAAGTGAAGATCTCAATCTCGACTGTGTAAGAAACATTTCAATTCTACTGTAATGCGTCAGACTTACTAACTTTCCAACACATCGGCCGTATGTTGGTGTGAATAAATGTAATAACTCATGCTTTACTTTGTTTATTCGTTGATTAAACACAGAAAAATAGACACGTTTCATGTTTCTCCAAGATGCGGTACTATTTCAAATGTTTAATAGATCAGCTTATTTTAATATTAAGGAGCCTCTCTGGTTGTTTTTGATATCCACAAGAGCAAAATGATCATGACCCATTTAAAGACCTTATGACGGGTTTTTAAAAAAAAAATAGTGGATATCAAAATTGCATGACAATGTCAATTTGAAAGAGATTCCGGCAAAAAAAATCCTATATTTTATAAAAAGAGCGTGTTTTTCATGAATTTAAGTTGTCTATGCTCTAACCTGTGTGTGACGTCATAGCGGGTTACGCCCATGCATTGAAAACCATGGATCTATGCCACAGGACTGCCTTTTCTCTCTTCTCTCCACTGAGGCCCAACACAATACTGCACTCTACAGGTGACAATTGCTCACTACACATAAATTGCCGTTTTGAGTGTGAAAAAATGTCCGAGGTGGGAATTGAACCCCAGTATCTGGATGGTCAGTCCATCGACACAACCACTGGACTATCTCAGTGACAACGAAATGTAACATTCTAGTAGTTATCTCAGACTCGCTGTACACGGCCTTGTCATCTTGAATATCCGCGAAAAAAGAACGAATACCAAATTGTAAACAACTTACAGCGTTGAAACGTACCCGTTCTGACGTCACCAAGGGCTGTGAAGTTTTTTCGTTTCTAAGGGCGTTGCTATGGGGTTATTTCGATTTGGGGGGATCAGACAAAAAAAACAACAACTGATTTTGAAACCTTTAGTAGTTCTCTTCTAATATAAAATGGTATTAAAACTGTATTTCTAAATAAATCAAACCCGTCATAAGGTCTCTTCTTGTTTTACTAGTTTGATCTTTTATGATTTCGAAGCGTTTTCAGTTCCTGTGAATAGTTGTTCTCTGTGGAAACTGTCTTTGGTTGGATCTTTGCTCTGGGTCTTCAGATACCCGTGCAAAACTACAAGTAATACATAATTTAGTAGACAATTTCTCCATCCATAATTTGTCAAGTTTTAAACCAAAATCATGGTTTCAGATTCATTTTATTTGCCATATGCAGTGCATAAGTCCCCAGTGTGCACACGACAAGTATATAAATAAAACAATAAGTGCAGGAATAGAAAAAAAAAACACAAATTGCAGGAAACAATTGACGCTGTGAAATTGATCAGCTCAAACAGTTCCAATACAAAAGGCAAGATCGTTGAAAGTGCTTTGTTTAAACTTCTACCAGAGGGAAGAAGCTGCAACATGGTTTCTCCAGAGTGGCCAGAAGAGTCATTGATTATCTTAAGAGCTCGGGGTAAGAGTCTGGATTCATACAGAACTTCCAGAATTTTACAAAAACCACACAGTATACTTCAAGACTGCTGAGCAGTTAGTTTAGTTGAAGGATTAGTAAGTAAAAATCCAGTCAAAAGTGGTACTGCAACCACTCTTTCTCTCCCTGACCCAGGTTGCCAGATATGCAGACGAATCCAGCTGGGACCATAACAGCTGAATAGACAAGAGTTTTGTCAACAACGAATCTATAACCAACACCTTTTTCACAAAGATAGAAATCCTTGTTTTATTCCTTGTTTGGTCGTTAATGATTTGAGAATCATAACGAGACCTTTTTTAGGTCTGCGGCCACATGGTACTTTACCAGTGAGATTAGCTCGACGCGGTGAGTTCTGACGACCCAGATTACTGACTTTCTAAATGGTGAAACGGTGGAGGGCGGGACATTGAAATGAAAACAATAACAAGATTTAGGGGTTGTATAAGGTTTGAAACTCAAACATCTCTGAACTACTGTTATCAGTTAAAGAAGTATTTGAAAAGACTGTAGTTTATTGATGCCTTTTGACAGATTAGGGACCTTTGATTAAGAGTTGACATGAAAATCTTACATATTGCTACTTTCACTTTTGCTGCTAACAGAGACACACTGTACGTGCTGAGGGGAGATGATGAGCACGTAAATGTTAACATGTAGTGAGTGGAGTTGTTGACGTGTTTATAGGTTGTGTTTACAGATTCACTTCATATCAATAATACATGCTGACGTCTCTCAGGGTTCGTCCTCATTTCAGTTTTACCACTGCGGCGTAAACGCTGATCACAGGATTCTCACACGTCAGCAACATATAGGGCCCAAGACACTTAAGATGTGGGTTTATGCAGTTATGAGCACCTTACATTACTATTCAAACTTGATACATAGTAATTGTTTTTCTGCAATTTCTATTTTCATATTTTTACTCCACAGAGAAACAAATAGGGGGAAATGTAAGCAATACAAAACACTTGGGGCTATTGTAATCAACCTATACCTGCTGTGTTCTCTTAAAGCTGGGGTACCTAACTTTTCTTTCTTTAATGCATTTTGTTTTTACCAACAGAAAGAGTCTTTTTCAAATCAGACCACATCTTGCTGTCTTCATCATATCAGAAAAAAAATTCAAGAATTATAAGAAAGAGCCCTGTGAGTCACTTTTTGGCGCTTTGGACTGATTGGCTAACTAGTATACGATTTTCTGAAAAAGCTGATCAATTGATGTGACGAGTATGAGGCCAAAAAAATATGGTGAAAGTAAAAGCTAGTGATAGGATGATGGTAATTAGATGTGTTTTGAAAGTTAGATCCCTCAGCTTGAACACTGCTCGAGATTTTAGCTGCATTCATCTGCCTGTTTAGTTCACATGAAAGTGTGTGTGCGTGTGTGTGTGCGAGTGTGTGTGCGAGTGTGTGTGCGAGTGTGTGTGTGACTTACTCTGGACACTGTGTGACCGCACGTCCCTCCAGTCCTGGGAGCCTGCCTCTCTGTACTGCACCAGGTAGTAGCTGATGGGGACTCCTCCGTGAGAGTCTGGGGTCATGAAGGTCACTGTGGCCAGACGCTGGGACACCGCCGACAGCCGCACGGAGTGAGGGTTCGAAGGCACGTCTGCAGCAACACAATCAACATACAGAGTGAGGGTTCGAAGGCACGTCTGCAGCAACACAATCAACATACGGAGTGAGGGTTCGAAGGCACGTCTGCAGCAACACAATCAACATACGGAGTGAGGGTTCGAAGGCACGTCTGCAGCAACACAATCAACATACGGAGTGAGGGTTCGAAGGCATGTCTGCAGCAACACAATCAACATACGGAGTGAGGGTTCGAAGGCACGTCTGCAGCAACACAATCAACATGGAACTACTGTAATATACTCCAGGTGGGGCACAACCAGTTTTGCCGGGAAATATCAAGCTAAAAGTCTACAACTGATTTATTTGGTTTTAAAAGATTATTTCAGCAGTTGACAAGTCAGTGATTTATTACTGTAATTTATCTTCAGTTTACAGTAATATGGATACATATGCAGCTAATATGTGAAGTACAGTACTTACATAAAGTACATACATACAGTACATGCATATACATTACATACATACACACAGTACATGTACATACAAACATACAGTACATACATATACAGTACATACAGTAAATACATACAGTACATCCATACATACATACAGTATATACATTACATACATACAGTATATACATTACATACATACATATATTCTAAAAGTTACAAACAAAGTAGTAATAAAGTACACATGATTGTCTTATGATCGAAGGAAAAAACTAGTTGTTGCAGTTGTTGCAGTCCTGAATGAAAAATTAAAACCTTTCCTTTGAACCAGATGCTCATGTTTGGTACAAATCTATAATAATAATGCATTTCATAATTTTGATACAGCGCCATTTTGGCCACTCAAGGTTGCCTTAAAAAAATTCAAAGATAAAATCTGACAATTAAGGATGGAGAGAGGAATGTATGTGAATGGGCCAATCTCGTCTGTATTAAGTATACACTGCAAAAAGGATCAAATATGAAGTCATTTTAGCTTTTTATCTTAATTTGAGTACATTCTAACAAGATTTGCCAATGAGACGAGCCATTTAGACCTAATCCAAGAACTACTGCTTTCTTTTCTCATTCCAAGGGAAACATTTCTTGTATCTTTTTAAAACAAGACCATTTTCCATTTGGCAAATCTTGTTTTATTGCAGTCAAAATGTGCTCTTATTAAGATACATTTTGCCAAATTTAAGCAATTTCTGACTTAAATTTCATCACATTTTGCACTGTAGCACATTACCTTTTTGATGGTGTTTGTCCCAACACATAACAACTGTTTAAACGTCTTTCTGAAACTGCTCCACGATACAATTTACTCGTCTGGTTTACTTGTTGCAAATGAAGAGCTTACGAATGCTTTGTCTAATACACTCCAAAGTTCTTGTTGTTGCTTTATCCGTCAAGTCGATTCCAATTATTTTGTTTCAGGTGCTGTGGCTGATTAGAAAATTACATCCCGCAAACACGAATTAATAAAAACATGTTTGAAGTGTGCGCTTGACAAGAAAATGAACTACAATCTCACGGCATTACACAAAAACATGATAATTAGCACGCGCATACAAACAGCTGCTACAATTAAAAGAGTGACATTTATAAATATGCTTTTATTTAGTAGATGTTGGCTGCGTGTAACCGTTCATTATTCCTGCATGAGAGGGGCTTTTAACCACTGGGGACATGACAGCTACATGCAAATCGCCCATAATTACGATTTCACACTGGCAGGTCATTTCAACCTTACTAGAGTTGGAAACCTAATCCTATCTCCTAACAAAATACTAGAAATACAAAATCATATAATTCCCAAATGATAGACCTGATAGACATTTTGGCTTTTTAGGATAAGCACCGATTCTCAAATCAAGTGAATGAATGTAATTTTTTTATTTTTTTATTTTTTATTCATACCGATAAGTGTGTGCCTGGTTGCTACATGTGAATTGACCCTACAATTGAATTAAGATGTTCTGGACCACTGCGTTGCCATGGAAACAGACATACGCCGCTATATATTTGCGTGACAACTATCCTCAAGTGAATCCAGAAGGAATGAAACAAATGTACAGAAATACTGTATATAGATTTATTTTCTAGTGGTATTGCTGCTGTCTGCAAAGAAATGTGAATGTGTTCAATGTGTTAGAATTAACCCTTTAATGTTCACTCCCTGAAGAAAGCCATGTCATTTTTAGACTTTTTTTGATTAGTAAGAGAACTAAAGACACTAGCGATAATAATTTGTGTAATAATTATGTTTTTTTTTACCCTGAGTTTTTTTATTCTATGCCTTTACCAAGTATTTGAAATGCAGCTTGATGGTAAAAGTGCCTAAAACCAAGTGATAGAGATGCCCAAAATTCAGTTCCAAGCTGAAAATAGTCTAGAATAGAATTAGAGATAGTGACTCAAAAAGTGTTCCACCAAATGAGGAAACCATTAAAGGGTTAAACTGAAACAGATATTTTTGTCAAATTACATCCAGGTGTCAACTGTTTAAGCTTTATCGTTCACCGCGGCAACAAACTAAAAGCGGAACAGTTTTTGCCAATGGAATCTCTTAACATTGCACAAAATACGAAACACAAAAACAAAATAATCTATAAGGTCTTTGTGCATTATTTACCCACAAATCATTCATTATTATCAGTATTTATCCATTCAGGGTCTGTATGGAGACTGATTTTTGCATCTATTTGCATCTAAAGCCGCATATTTCAGATCTGGTAGCGGTGAATCGTACATTCTCCCTGCTCTGTCTCTGTCTCTGCCACCTCCAGATAATAATGTCATTGTCATTCATTGTTGCAGCGTGAGTCAGCTCATTTGAAGACTCACAAGAGCCTTCTCCAATCCTTTTACTCTGCAGACGCTTTTAAAACAGGCTCAGAAATCCCAGCACGATACTGCAGATAAATACTAAAAAGTACATGAATTATCCACAGTGGGTTTGATAATGGGACTCGACACAAAAAGGAATTATGAAATGTACTTCAGAGCTTACTCAACACCAACCAGGAGGAGTTCAAGTAATATTTTCTCACAGAAGTTGCCAAATGCTGGTGTTTTGAAGCTCTGTGATTATAAAATGGTCGTGTTTGAGTGTTCTTATTCTTACTGACCTGTGTGTGCGCCAATATAACACTGAAATGTTCTCTTTTCTTAAATAGGTTTGCTTGTTCACTTCAATGGAACATCTTCACCTTCACCATTTTGGGCTTAAAACAAACTGTGGTTAAGATATCTTTTTTCACTTCCCTGAGTGATCCTGTTTATGCAAAAGAGGCCCGGTACATTTCTCCATTGTGAGATCAATAAAGTTTATCTTGTCTTATCTTGATGATCCTGGGCTTTGTATTTTGATATTGTCTTTGTAAATCTAGGCATGATCCAGACAACAAATCCCATGGCTTCATTCGTGGGGGAAAACTCCAGCGTATGTAATCTGAATAAAAAATGTTGATGTGAGTAGCAAGATGTCGCAGATTAGGACATTGCTTTGGCTCTCGGTGCAAACAAAAGTAGACATTAGAATAAGGCATGCATAAATAAAAATTGACATCAACGTTGATAGCAACACATATGCCCCCGTAACAGTGCAAAGTTCTCGCTGTCGTAACCATAGACTGTAAATATCAACGGACGCCTATCTCCGCCGTTCAAGCTAATGTGCCATCACATTTGGCTTCCATTATTCAAAATGGCCGCGGGCAGCGCCTCCCGCAGGAAATGTGAATAAATGCATTTGCACATGCGTTAGCCAGCAACAGCCCCATTCATTTAACAAGTGCCTTCTGAAGTCCACAGCAGCTAAACTAGACCAAAAAAATATACTCCCCTCAACATTGGCACACATCTGGAACGTAGCTTTGGGCCAAGAGCGACTTTAGGATCATCCTGTAAAGCGGTTTCAACGCCATACAGACACCACACAGACACCACACAGACGCCATTCAAAAGCATTAGATTCTCTTTCTGGGTACACCCCTACCAGTTAGGAGTGGGATTGCAAGTATGTCAGCGTACATGCTCATGGACTTTGAGCTGGGAACCGCCCCCACGGGTCTTAACAAACGCCCATACAAAGAAGAAAGAAGCTCCAGCTAGCCTATGTAGGAATGCTAACAAAGCAGATCTAACCTAACCACATGTCCTTGCATCCACGGGTGAGTAGATAAACCAAAAAGTGTTGTCTACTCTTGGATAACAACTTATCCAACCTATTTGCTGAATGTGTGATATCAATTGGAGAGTGTGCTATTAGTAGTACTGAAGTAGTAATGTGGAACCAGTTTCAATTGATTGAGACTCTACATCTGACTTATCCATCAGCCACTTCTTCTTCTGCGGCGGAATGCAATCCTAGCTGCACATAATTGGAGCCCACTGCTGCGTATTAGAATGCACTAGAGTAAATTAGGGGAGTGCTTCAGTAAATAGGCCGCGCTGGACTTATGTGAAATCAGCCAGCACTTTTTCAGATTAGATTTGGCTGCGTTGGACTTGGGATTCGCAGTAGAATCTGCCTTGCGTGTTGCAAATCAGGCTATTAGCATTAGCGCAGGCAGATTACGCATTAGTTTGAATGGGGGAATTGTGATGATGTAATGTATATAGATTTGTTGGCGAGATAAAAAATAAAAAGTCTGTAACAGCGTGCCCACCTGCTTGTGCCAAAATGAATTCCTGGTATCGGACTCCAATGTTGTTGCGAGCTGTGCAGTTGTAGCGGCCAAAGTCCCGGTCGGACATCGGAGTCACCTACAAACAAATGGGAGGATTGTAAACCAAAGTAGCACCATCAATGCTTACAAGAAACAAATACCAGTAACTATGACAACAATCAAAGGGCAGGGAAGTCAGGGAAAAGCAGATGGTTTAGATTTACTGAGACTTAGAAGAGTTCAGTAAAGCAAAATATAATCTTTTGTTGTATTGTGTGTGTGCTCACGATAAGAATCCTCCGTTTGGATTTTGTTTTCATGTGTGGTTGTAGCAGATTTACTGGTAAGAGAGAGACAATACTGTCGAAGCAGACAAGCTGCCACAATAAGTAATGTTTCCCCAAGATATCCAGGGTACCGTGGTGATGTTTGTAGCAAATAATAAAGAGGTGCGGAAATCCTCTTTTGCACGTCTCAAGTAGGAAAAGGATTCTCTCCAGGTCTCTCAGTCTCAGCCCAGGCCTGAGTCACATGGGAAGTATGTAGTAATAATGGGCTGGATTGTGTGCATTAACGTCAGTCGCATCAAGCATCGTATTTCTTGGATTATGAAAAGTTATTATCTAAAAAATGAGATAATGAAGTAAATAAATGAAATAAAGATTTTTTAGTATTTGGTGAGTAATAAAGTCAAGTTAATCCTTTAGACGCCAAGGTTACTACAGAAATGTGAGGCAAAACAGGCAAAATGTGGCGACTTCTGGCCCATTTTTAGTTTCTAGATCTGTGTGTGTTTTTAGTTTTTTTTTATTAAAAGGAAAGAAGGAGATAGAGGACCACTCGGATCAACTATGAATACATAAAAGAAAAAACATCCAAGACAAATATAGGGAAACTTAGCCACAATCGAAGGAAGCACAGACATAGATATACAGATCTGCAATAGACTAATACGAATTAAGCTTGACACAAAAACGGCCTTGGAAAAGAACTCCCAAAGCCAATTTAACGCCTGGATAACTCTCTAACCTGGGACCTACCTCGAGCACAGACTTGCCCTGGGCACTGTGGATGTGTGTGTTGTGCGACCCCTCGGCGGAGATGGTGAAGCGCTCTCGTCTCCACAGCATGGTCGCCGGGGGGTTGGACATGACGTCACAGCTGATGTTCACCGGGTTCCCTTCCCACGAGAAGTACACCGTGTGGTTGGTCAGGAACTTAGGGATGTCTGCGCACACACACAAACAAGGATGTATTGGAACGGGTGCAAACACAATGACAATGGCTTTTGACATTTACAAATCTGTGCTAAAGCTGTCCGTGCATTTCATTTTCGAGACATTTTCAACGGAGAAACTTGGCTCCCCTGATTTATGTTTCTGTGTGGTCTCCTTGACATTTTTGACAGATCAGTCATGTGCAATTTTTTACTCTTGTTAGTAACTTTTCTTAAATCTATTTTTGTATGGACCCTGCGTTTTTGCTGCTGCACGCCGGGATTTCTCTCTTAGGATCAATAAAGTACCTATATATCTATCTAAGTGTTGATCACTTCCTCTGTGGTCTTTGATGTGACCGTGATTCTTCTGAAGTATGGCAAGACTGCATATGGAAGTACGCACAATTGTTTTGATGATTTTAGATTTTGTGATATTAGTTGAAAATATAATTTAATGTGTGAATATTAAGCATAGCAAGCATACGTATACTAAAAAAAACAAATGAAATCTCTCTCTTAAACGTAATAAAGAAGAAAAGTAAGTAAATGCTATGTAAATGTGTGTATACGACTGTCGATACGTATCCACTGCAATTCTCTCTAGGGAAAGAATAAGGTATTGAGTCATTTCAATGTCAAAATTCACAAAATGAGGTTCTTGGATTGGTTTGCGGTAGCTTTTATTCAGAGCCTATCCTCCAAGTTCTTTCCAACTTATATAAGAGCAGAGAAACTATTAACACAGGCGTTTTACGGTCTCATACTTGAGTTTTCTTTCAACCCGTTCAGGTAAATAAGCTTGACACCGTGCAGTGAAACGTAAAAGCAGTTCCTTTAACAGAATAAAGTGAGACTGAATCACTGGATATCTTTTGATCAGTGACAGAATATGAAAGCAACTGCCGTGCACTCTCTTTTTGTCCAAGCAGATAGATGGAAGTTAAGTGTATATGACCTTTTCAGACGTTTGGTGAAGAAGATGTCTGTCTTTACTCCTGAGATGGTAAACTATAACAGTCTTAACAGCTCTGTCTAAGCCTTCGTTTTCATACCAGTGCATTAAAGCAGCTCTTTTTGATTTGTTGACTGTCTCATCCTTTCCAGAGACCAAAAAAGAATTGCGGATCATTTTGGCAGTCCATTTTAGAAGTCATTGGCGATTGAAGACGTCAACTCACATCAAGTATGGGTAATCTTCGGCCAAAGCCCCAAAACAAATGATATCTTCTCATGACAACTGATGTACCAAACACGAATACATTTGCTTTGTTGCATTCAAGCAAACATTTGTCAAGAAAAAATGCATCCGTCAGAGCAAAATCGTCTCTTTTCCTTCAAATACGGGAGCGACTCTGCAAACAGGAGTAATATCTGCCGAGCGTGGCGTTTGTGACAGCCAATTAAACAGCGGAATCAAAGGTGGGGTTTGCGTCGCCTGATCAAAGCGCCCAAACTTACTCGTGCAGGCTTTACACACAAACTCCTCAAAAGGATGGAGAGGTAGAGAACGCATTCCATTAGAGCTGTGATCCGAGCAAAAGCCCCTTTACTCCCACGTCCACAGGCAGGCATCACAGCCCACACTATAAACCCTAACTTCATTCTCACTTCACATATCAAAGTTATTTTAAATTAAATGCTTTTTCCCAGTAAGTAAATATTTCTTGTTTATCATATTATTATATACGATAAAAAGTTTGGCTATAACACGCATGGCCATCTAAACTGTCTCTGCCGTTGAAACTAGTGTGCTACTAGTTTCGGCTTCTAAGGGGGTTATTCAAAATGGCCGCCGGGGCAGGTAAAAGGGAAAACCGCCTTTGCGCATGCGTTAGCCGGCATAAGCCACATTCACTTAACAAGTGCATTCTTAAGTCCGCAGCGGCTAAACTGGAGTGGTCCAAAAAAATATACTCCCCTCAGCACTGACAGCATCTGGAATGTAGCTTTGGTCCAAGAACCAACTTTCGAGAGGAAATAAAACGCCATACAAAAGCATTGGGTAATTCTTATTCCGGGTACACCCCCACAGGCCCGAAATGAGATTGCCGCCCCTACTGGTCGCGTTGTATTAGAAAATGTCCTGTGCATGCAAACAGGTGACGCGGGAGAAGAAATGCAAGTTGGCGTAGAGCTGGGCGATTCAAGTTGGCAGAACACAAGTTAAATCAGTCAGATACTTTAGTCTTGACAAATATAAGTTGAAATCCCAGTCAATCTTTATTGCCATAAAATGGTTCTTGAAAGTAACCTACACATGGAGTTCAATTAGCAAAATCAAGTGAAGAATGTAGTCGTGAAATTCCAGTTAAGTTAATGTGCACGGTTTTTTCAGGTAAACTTATTTTTCTTATTTTACAGGGAGGAAGCACATTGATAAACATTTATAATCACAGTGTAAATATGCAAGACTGACGCAAAACATTTTCCTTTTGTCTGTTGTCTCTTGGCAGCTAACAGCCACAAGAAACTACACAAACACACACAATAATAAAGGGATAACACATTTATTCAAGTGGGAGATTATTTTGCCCAAGAGCTTTGCAAATGTTGCTGCATATATTTTGTTCTGTCTCTACACACTGATTCAACTAGTCATAAACTGGTAAACTCATCTTGGCATTAACATGGAGGTATTATATTATCTGGATAGGGTAAAGCTAGCTATAGCCGTGGAACACCCAAAGTACTGCAGGTTAAATTCACTGGTTCTACACAGGACATTTTCCCATATAAATGCTCCCATTTTCCGTATTACAGCTTGTCCTCAGCTCTCACAGAACCAACAGCTTTTTCAAAGGTCAGGTTTAGTCAGGATTTTAGTGTACTTTGTCATGTTTTTTTTTCTTTTGAAATCCATTAGTTTTAAATACTCTAAATCCACACTTCTGTCTGTTCTCATCCATGAATTTGCAGGTTGGTGACATTTGACAGCATTTATGGACACTATTCATCTTTATGGTAATCTGCCTCTATGGACCAATGGCTCTGTGTGATTCCATTGTTACCATTTCCAGTGTTTGATTCTCTGATCTGTGTTGAAACAATTACAACCTCCGAGATAACGACTGTTGTGATTTAGGGGTTAGGGCTATAAAATCTAAAAAACAAAATTAATTTAATTGAATTTAATTGGTTGTTGTCGGAAAAACCACAAATGGCGTATACCTACTGGGGAGAACTAAAGGTGGGAACATACACCAATGAGCAAAGGCCGTTGTTTTGAATGGGCAGAAAGTGAGTGCACATGTAAATAATGATCGTTCATATTTTTATATTTTACAAATGAATGAGCCAAAGCAATTACCAAGTCTGTGATTTCCTGTTACTTACATGGCAAAAAAATGATTCTGATGTATTTCTATCTTTAGAAAAAAGAACCACCTTCACTCAGCCAATCAGCTCTCAGCCTGAAGAAACAAAAGTGACTGACTGGGCTCTAAGTTAGGTTTCTGCAACAAGATAAAGACAGCAAAATGTTATATTTATAAAAAAATAAAAAAACCCACAAAAAAACGTCTGGTGCCCCAGCTTTGAGGTCTCTTCTCACATTCAAAAGACAGAAAACCTTTCATTTTGACCACATTCTACATTTGTCATGATCCTGAAAAGCACAGATAGTCACAAAGAGACGAGAGAGTCATAGCAACCTTTAGCAGTCCCTGACTCCGAGTGGAGGAGGCACACACAGAAGCTCATTTGGCTGTGAGGAAATAGGACGAGTAGTAATGGACGATTTGGGCAGAGGGATTTCTGGGCCTTGGCACGGTCGCGGAGGCATTATGCTTGTTTTATGTCTGCTCGCCGGGTTCCATTAAAAAGACGGATACCAGGCCCTCCGTCAGCGCGCCGGCTTACCAAATGAGTTCATTAGTTCTCCGCCAACACACACAAACATATGATCGTTCTCCTGCCGCAACAGACAAACAAGTTTACAGTCCTGACAGGAGTGACGGACTGCAGAGGGAGGTGGGAGCACTGTTTATTTTTTATTTTCCCCCCACCTCTGGATGCTATCAGCGCTGTCAACTTGTCAAAAACTATGCAAAACAGGTCTGAAGGGATTTCACCAGTCGTCCAAGCCACGGGAGGAGAAAATTGCTTTCCACTTCGCTTAAAAAGATACAACTTATTCTTTTTTCTCCGTCTTCCTCTTTGTTGTTGTTGCTGCTATGAAGCCAAATGGTGTAAATACATTTCCGTATAGCGCACGTTTGCATAATAAAGTGAATTTTGAAGGGGAGCTAATGTAATATTGCAACATTTATGCCTCTGGAGAAAAACTTGTCGAGCCGCACAAGCAGGAAACAATGCATGAACCAGAGATCGCTAATTAAACTTTCACCGGTGTGTGTTCTGGAAGCGTCCGGATGGTCTTACAAGTGCACGGTGAACTTTTCAACCCAAGCGCCACTATGTAGTACACAGTGCACAGGAGTATGCAGTTTGTATGATCTTTTGTAATTTAAAAAAAAAAAAAAATATATATATATATATATATATATATATATATATATATATTTCAGAAGACGTATATCAAGATAAGACATAAAAAGGACAAAAAAATTGATAAAATCAAAGACAAGACTAAACTAAATGGACCAAATTAAAAGGCAAAATGGACAGAATCGAAGGCATAAAACAGAACAGGATTCCAACATTCCATTATTTATTATCATCTAACCCTTTTAAAAAAATATATATATTAATCTAGCCAAAGCGCATCAACCACAAAACTCACAGTAAATACGTAGAAAACATATAGTATTTTCCCCCATTGGTCCAAACTAACATAACAAGAGGACTAAAAGACCACGGTAGCGGTAGATTGGATCATAACGTCCCAAAGGTAAATAAAAGCTAACCCTAATCTGCGTGTGATGCTTAAGACCAATTTAAAAGAGAGTCCTGGCTTGATCAGAGTGATGGTCGGGACCAGTGGGGGCAGGTCCGAGCTCAAAAATATCCCAAATGACGTGCGCTGACATGCTGCAATACCACCCCGGGCCAGTGGGGGTGGAACCGGGATAAGAACTAGCCAATGCTAATGTAAAGCATCTTCTCACCTCTCAAAAACGGCTTTAAAGAGTCCAATAGTTGACTCTTGGCCCAAAGCTAGGTTCCACATGTGTGTGATGTTGAGGGGAGTGTATATATATATTTTTTGGACCAGTCTAGTTTAGTCGGAGTGGACTTTTGAAGACACTTTTTTTTAAATTTTACAGCCCCCACGGTCATTTTAAAACTCTCCATAGACAGCGAAAGTGCTGGCACACAGGCATGACTACATCTGGACACACTCGTGGATGGAAATGACGAGTAGCTGTACTCACACTCGATATCCAGGAACATGCTCTTCTGATGGCCCCCGATCCTGCTCAGGGCCTCGCAGTCGAAGCGGCCCAGGTCAGACAGCTTCACTCCGCTGATGGTGAGCTCTGATTTACCGTGGCGCCCTCGGACCTCCACTCGGCTGTCCGCGCTCTGAAACATCCACACAAAAAACCAACAACGAGAGTTAGAGTTACTAGAGTAGGTTCCGTCATACAAACATCTCCTTTTAGAGCCTTTTATTCACTGAAAGCGGAAGGAGTGCTGTAATGTTTACTTTTGAATGCGCTGGAAACGGCAGCGAGTCCGAAAATTAAACAGTTGTTTTTGTGCTTTACAATTGTTATTTTTCTTGCTTTTTTCTGCCTGAGATGTTGCTGCAGTACAGTGTTCACGGTTTTACACTGGTCCAGACCAGAGCAGAGAGGATTCATGGTCCGGAAACAAACTTTAAAAAAAATGCTAACAAAGGATTCAGCATTTTACTTTGGACCAGAGCAAAGAAAATGGTCCGAAACAAGCGGCTCCACCTCTGCTGCTGTGACCTGAAGGGCTGTTGCTGATTATTATTATTGTTAGCTTATTAGAATGATCAATTTATTTGTTTGGATGGATGTGTTTTTGCTGCTACTGGACACCCGAATTTCTCTAATGGGGATCAATAAAGTATCTATCTATCTATCTACAGTATCTATCTATCTATCTATCTACAGTATCTATCTATCTATCTATTTACAGTATCTATCTATCTATCTACAGTATCTATCTATCTATATATCTATCTATATATCTATCTACAGTATCTATCTATCTACAATATCTATCTATCTACAGTATCTATCTACAGTATCTATCTATCTACAGTATCTATCTATCTACAGTATCTATCTATCTATCCCGGCCCGCCTGGGAGTGCTTCGGTCCTGCGCCGGACCTGTCCACGTTCAGCGTCCACTGGCCCACGTTCTGTAGCTAGCTTAGGTCCTAGATCATTAGCCTGTCCGTCCGGAGGAGCGGATCCCTTTCTCATATGGGTCTCCCTCCCTGTGGGTTTCCCTAGTTCTCCTCCAAGGTTTCTCACTTTTTCCCACTGGGTTTTTTAAGAGTTTTTCCTTGTCGATGCAGGAGGGTCTTGTTGGACAGTTAGTGTCCAACAGAAAGGATTGGTGATGATCAGGACACTTTAGCATTCTACAACATGTATGGACATTTTCTTCTGTGTGTGCTTTATATTCTTCATGTGTTTTAACTGTTGATTCTCTGACCTGTGTTGGTGATTTCAATGGTTTTGTTAAGTCCTCTGAGATGACTTCTGTTGTGACCTAGGGCTATACAAGAATAAATTGTATTGTATTGTATTGTATCTATCTATATATCTATATATCTATATCTATCTATATATCTATCTATCTACAATATCTATCCATCTACAGTATCTATCTACAGTATATCTATCTACAGTATCTATCTACAGTATCTATCTATCTACAGTATCTATCTATCTACAGTATCTATATCTATCGATATATCTATCTATCTACAATATCTATCTATCTACAGTATCTATCTACAGTATATCTATCTACAGTATCTTTCTATCTATCTATCTATCTATCTACAGTATGTAAAGTCTTTCCACATTGAAATAAAACATTTAATCAAGGTCAAAAGTATGCCTTTAATGTCTTAGATTTCATCAATTTGCCCAAAACCGAACAGAGTTGAAATATAAATGATAGAAAACGTTCAAAATACAGCTTCGACGAGAGACTTTTATGCGATCCACCGGAACAAACAAAAGCGGGTCACAATAACACAACGTCTGCAGACAAAGAAGTTGAGAGAAAAGTTGATTGAATAGTAGCAGCATGTTGATCCGTGATGCCCCTCTGACTCGGTCCACACAAAGAGATAAAGCTGGATATATTACAAGGTCATTACCACTGTATGAAGACGGATGGCTCCAATCTGAGGTAACGGGTCAATTACCGCGACAGGGCTATCACTCTGTAATCGACGTTCGCGCTAATGAGAAACAACAGCCAGGAGGAGCATGAGGCGTCTGCTGCTCACAAGCTAGGTGTGGCTAACAGATAAAAGAACACAGGAGACTAAAAATAGGCCAGTAAACAATTCATACCTTATTTTCTTTTCATTTCTGTCTAATTAAATGGTCCTTTTCAAACACACTAATCAAACTTATCAGGGGCATCTTACACAGCCGCTGAAGTTGGAAGAGAGCTCCAAACTTCCCTTATATGCAACGAAATACAGGCTTATAGCTAAAACAATAGCTACTTGTTGGTGCTGACAATCCTCACTTTTACTAACTGTGATAATAGAAATACAAGTTTTTGCCAACATGAGGTCTTCTGTGGTTTATTGCAGTATTGGTAATTGAATATTATTTCAAGTATAATCTTAGAACTGGTGTTATGCACTGGTTTTATAGCGCTTTTTTGAACACTCAATGACCCTTCACATGTCATTATTCTTTGGTATGGTATGGTATGTTTTTTTTATTTTTACAGGGACAGTGTACAATAAACATTAGCCAAAAGGAGAGATGCATTGTACCAGGTTGTAGCAGCAGTGCTAATTTTCACCTGTAGTCCCAGTCTGAGTCCCATCGGCCCCTCCGACCACCACCAACCATTCGCACACACACCAGACTCATTCTAGGCAATGTGGGTGAAGTGTCTTGCCTAAGGACACAATGGCAGTTTACAGCCGCAGCCGCCCCACTATAACATTGAAATCCTGTATGTCCATACAGCCTTGCACTCAAAATAGTTTAGTTCCATCGCTAATTTTCAAATGCATGTATTTTGTGGCTCGCCCTCACTCAGCTCGAGTGCAAAAGCAGCAGTAGTGACTCACAGGGCTCTTTGTTCTTAATACGCAACAAAATATAACAGAGATAGATAATAAGAAATTAGATGTTTTCTAACAAGACAAAGATACGTATGTTGTGGTCTGATTTGTTTAAAATATTCTTTCAAAAATGTATTGTTTATGAAAAGGGGTACTAATAAAGAGCACTGACCATGACCCAGCTACGACATTGACCTAGTAATAGCAATGCAGCAGAAATAGTATAATTAATGGTTAAATGTTAAATCCATTGTGCAAACCGTCGTCGTACTTTTCTCTGCAACTTGAAATGAGCGTCTTTGGACCTAGTACTTAGCCATTACTTGTCCACCAAATAGCCCATTACATTTTCAAAGTTATCTTCAACTCTGCAACCTAAATTGACCCATATAGAGATTTAATTTAATCACAGAAGTTCCAGCTAAGCACCAATAAGATGAAGCCATTTGTAGAGAACTAATTTCAGATTTCACCGGCACAATTGGCGATTGCCGCTCAGGGGACGATCATTAAAAGTGCCTAAACTTCTTCCTATAGGTCGGAACGGGGGAAAACATTTCTCTGCGTGCGGATGCTGCCTTCCCACATTTCAATCTAATTAGTCCATTAAGGCAAGTTGAATCAAAGCTTTAGGAAGTGTGCGAAGAGAAGACAATGCGTTTAGCTCAAGGCCTCCGAGTCAGCGTGGGGTGAGAGCCGCGGTAATAAAAGACAACAGCGACACTACAAAGGCAGAAAACAAGTTTGTTTGAAGCCTGTGTGGAGTAGGAGAAGGATCCGGGCTGCTTGTTTAGTGCTCTCACCCACATGTGCACTCCTTGAGACATCTAATGACAAAACAGTATACAGTACAGCCACTTTGATCCGTCTCGCTTTTAAGTCTCATGTCGCGCCAAACAAAGCATGAAGTGCATTTTGGGTCGCTTTATTATTAGTCTTTTGAATGATCATAAGCACTTTTAGATGTCTTTTATATATGGAGTTAGAATACAACAGGGACTGGGTCACAAGGAGGTGTTTTTACTTTAAGGCTTTGGTGTTTTAGCTTATAGAAGAAAAAATAATAATAATAATAATAAAAAGAAGAACATGCATGGAAGTTTAGCAGTTGTTTCACCCTTTTCAATGTATACGTTACATAGTGTTGATCTATTGCAAGCCTTGGATATTCAAGAACATATTGGTTTAGCACAGGGGTCTCCAATCTGTGGTTCAAGTGATACCAGTCTTTCAAGTATCTCCCCGAAGGATTTAATAATTTAATGATCCTGAATGATTCACTTCTGAGTCTTAACATATTTTAATTTAATATGTTTACATTAATGCAGAAGTATAGTGGTGTATTATATATACAGTACGTGTTTGCCATGGTTGGCTGCAGTTATATAGACTACATATGTATCACGACTGCTAAAAGGAGCCGCTCTCTGCCATTTTTGTCTTATAAAAGAAGAAGATCTCAAATCGAAAATGGCCGAAGATCCCTGTTTAGCACATTCTAGAAGAAATTTCAGATTGATGAATACACATACACATATATACATCGAGGCATGCAGCAGCAAACCTTACTTCCATGCTATTTATAGGCAAGGTGGGTTAAGTGTCTTGCCCAAAGACACAACAACAGCAGACATTAGTGGAAACGGTAGAGAATTTTTTGCGATGGGCCTGAACCCACGACCTTCAGGTTCAAAGGCCAGTGCTACCAACTGAGCCACAGATGAAAATGACACAATGCATTTCAACAGGGTCAACGTTATCATTTCTATGCAAACATTCATTTGCATCTTTATCTTTAAGGGACCGTTATGTCCCTTGTAAATCCCTTGCATAATAAACAGAGATGTCTGTCTCAGCCCGCTTGATGGGCCTCTCCGGTCTGTGCAGTACTGTCTTGATGCTGCATGTCCCCTTTTCACATGAGAGAGAGTAAACATGTGCTGTATAGACAGACCCATGTGGCTGCTTGATAGCCGCGCCTGTGCCAATAGTCATTATGTTTCTAAGCCCTGTGAGATTCCCATGTGTCGCCGTGCGCTGCTCTCATGTTGGCATGTGGCACTGATCTCACACAGCGTTACATAATGGGAATGGCATCAACAAAACCAGTGATGTCACGTGCGGAAATGGTCCAAATAATGTAGACAGTGATAAAGTGGTTATACCTGTGTGTAAAAGCCAGATCCTGGCAGACCTCTGAAGCAAAGCAGAGCAGGGCATAGTTAGTACTGTGATGGGAGAGCTCTGGGAACAGCAGGAGGCACAGTGGGGGCGGCTGC